ATTTTTCCGTTATTTTCCGACAAGGAGCACACGGCGGGTGTGATCGGTCGGCAGGGGATGTCCACTCCTCAATGGCACCTGATCCCACGTTTTGGAGGTCTGTGTTTGCTATGCTCCTATTTTGTATTGTCTTATGGACTTTTGATCTTGAATACTGTTCGTAGGGATGTGCGATTTTATCGGTATACCGGTATATTACGATTTTTTGTTGCGTGATACGTATTGTGATACAGAGGTCTAAATACCGGTCTTTAGGTACATGTTATAAAGTCCAGAAATTATTCATTTTTTAGTTCAATATTTCAAATTACAATTACAGAAAGTGTAAAAAATGTTGTAAAAAGTGAAAAGAATGGCATCTTACTGTCCAAACATAATTGATTTTATATACATAAAAATTTCAAGAAAGTAAAATTTCGTTTTTCTAGCATATTTTTTTAAAGAAAAATAATGACTTTTCATATAAAATAATTGTAAGAACTGCTTTTAAAAATATCATGATATTATCGTGATATTGTGGGAAAAAATCGTGATATATCGCGATACGAAATTTTTGGCGATACCCATCCCTAACTGTTCGTTATCTCAATATGTTTCATGCTTACTTTAAACGGGGTTGTTGAATCCTTGAAATACCAACTTCTGTTTTAAAAGCCTGTCCCTTTTGAAAAAAACTGATTATACTAAGAACGCGCCCCTGAGTAGCGATAATTTATACTGGTAAATTACTTTTTAAGTAAGGGAAGTTGACGATGGAAAAGATTGAAATTTAGTTGTAATTTGGCTTTTATCGTCTTTAGTCAGTAAAACATCCAAATATGAAGCAGATATGACATACTCCTTGGAGTCTTTTATTTCAATATCACTAGGATAATTCGAGTCAAACTACGTGAAATACTTCTGTTATTGATAAAATGTAGTTGATACTCCTGAATGTCGAGGTGAAGGTCACGACAAGTTTGTCCTTCATGTAGAGAGTTTTGAATAAATTGTTCATGGGAATATAAAAAAAACATGCAAGCTTCGTTATAAGCTTTTGTAGAGGCACCTTCGGAATTCAAGCAATTCTTTGTTCTCCAAAGACTACATAAATGATGGAAATGTGGAACTCCAACCTCTTTTTGATATCAACTTCAGATTTTCAGAGTGAATTTTAATTTGTTGATGACCAATCACAATATTTGAAAATGTTTGAGTACTGTTTTTATTGGAAAGCAATTGTGTATGATATAAATAAGCCTATTTTTTTCATGAGGAATGGCTATTATTAAGTTTAGAAAAGTCGTATGTTTTGATGTAATGTACTCTTAAAATGGTAATTTTTAATTCCTTAAATATTTACACCATATCTAGAGTGTGCTGTAGCACAGTTCATTTAAAGTTTCTCCTTAACAGTAGTTAATAGTTAATATATCTGCATGGAGTAAAGATAGGGGCTTGATAGAACATTTACTGGACCGGCCAATATAAAAGAGGCAGTCTCGCATTTACCAAAGCGATTAAGGGTGACTCTTTGCACATCATCGATAAAGCTCTTTTGCACTCAAGATATCTAAATATTTTAGGTTAGTTATTACGCATTTACTCACCGATTAAGTTGATTTCATACACATCCAAAAGACCTTGCACTAATCTTGACAAATAAGGGCACAATAATATTTTATTTTGCTTATCGTTATGTGTTATTTTTAGGCGACGAAATATTTTCTATTCATTTAAAATATCTTTGATATATAATATATATAAATTATAAAACGTAAAAGCTTCATAACACCACTTTTTCATTGGATTTGAGGCCGTATACACGAAAGCCTCAGTGAGTGTGCGGCGACAAACGCCACCTCACCGTTGTAAACAATGAGTACAACAGCCAGAGTCAGTTATAACTTTTGTAATCTGGGCAGTTAATTTGTCTTGAACATATTTCGTTCATGAAAACGAACTTTCAATATCATATTTATTCTGATTCGGATTATATATATGAAAGAGTTATGAACTTTTTTTGGTGAATAAACTTTGATATTAACGAGGAAAATATTTCAAAATTGAACTCGGCTTCACCGTTGTCAATATCAATATTTTTCTGGTTTACTGTACGTGTACATAAATTGGCGTATTCAAAATTTAGAGCAATCACTGGGAATTGAGTTGTTGGCGTATTCATGAATAAGCGCTTCAAACTTTCGCGCTGTATATTGTATTCTTAGCAGTAATCATGAATTCCCTCATCAATTTCTGCGCCAAAGCCGCTAAAATATGAAGCCCACTTTTTCAAGAACATGTACAGTACTCGTATTTCACAATAGCAGGATCACAATTTGGCGCCGATTTTTCAATATTCATTGTTTTCTGATGATCAACCTTTGGCGATTGGCTTGACGTTTTGATAATTTTATGCATATATATTTTATCCACGTTTGTCTTTTTATAGCAATCCATATTTATTTAAATATTCAAGACCACACTTGTAACGTAAAATCGGTTTTAAGCCTCACATAGGTACGAGTATTTTCCCCCTCATTTGAGGTAGTCCGATCCCCAGGTTCCAAAAATCAGGCCTTCAAAATTTGAAAATGTTACAAAATGTATCTGAATTCTGAAAAAAATGTTTTTACCAACGGAACTTCTTTAAACTTCATCATTAAATTTAATCATATTACATGAGGAATATTAGGAAATCTCTAAACACTTCAAATAAAAACACATGTGCATTTTCTAATTGAAAATAAATGAATAAATATATTTAAGGAAAAAAAACTATAGATACCCAGGCATTTGAAGAAAATTGTATGGTTTTTGTACTGAAATGTTACTTTAATTCTTCTATTTACTTCATTTATGCAATAATGTGTAGTGTATAAAGCATCTCCTATCAATGCATAACTTCATAAATCACTTTCTATCTCATATCTTGTCGATAAACTTTGGTATCTCAGGCTAGATCAAAGGAAATGTGATTTCTTTCAATGCTTTCAATGATTTGTAACACTTCTATGGTGTACGAATATTTTTAAAAGACTTTTTGCAAAAATAAAAATTGTTGCATAAAAAGATTTCAATTTCAAGCTGCTTTTTTTACATTTTGAATTAAATAATAAATTGAAGAATTGTCTTTCCTGGCTAGGATATCCTTAAGAATTATATACATGTATATATACATGGATATCCTTATATATATATATATATATATATATATATATATATATAGTGGCAATTCTAAAAAAAAAAATCGAAGATAACATATAATTTGATTTCAATATTTACGAACATTCCAGTACCATGATTTGATTGATTTTTCTTTTGGAAGCCTACACACTCCCTTCTTTCTCCAGTTAGCTGATTATGATGCTTCATTTTGAATTAAATAATAAAAAAATTTAAACAAAAAGCATTTAGTTAATGATAACAGTACTTTTAAAATATCTCAGCTTGTCTATTTTTGACGACTTTGATTTTTTCTCTTCATATTACATTATGCAATCGTCACATTTAAAGAAATCTAAGCTCCAGTAAATCAAATATTTCCTTAATATTATAAACATTTACATTTATTTCAAACATTTCCTTAATATTATAAATATTTACATTTATTTAAAAACCAGTTACTAATTAATTTTCAAAAAATAAAAACCAAAACACGTTTAGAATATCTGCAATAGCTTCAAAAGTGTATCAAATTTTTAGTATTTATGCTGTGTTTGAGAAAAATTAAGGCCTGGTATCTCAAAGATTAATAATTAATGTTTAAATATTTGGCAAGCTATTTCAATTTCTTCACAAGTAAAAGCATCAACAGTGTAATTCTGCATTTATTCTCACAGTGGACTATTACTTACTCTAACTCATGATTAGATGTGTTGACAAATATTTTGCATTATTTGTGCTCCTTTTTTTTCAAAAATTCAAATGGATTGTTTTAATTTTGTTTGATTTTGCAATCAAGGTTAGGGATCACTGGGTCAAGGAGTTTTGTAAGATATCTTATCTAAAAATAAAATTACCCGTAAATTTTCCAGTAGTTGCTAGATAGCCCTAAAAAGTATCACATTATTAAGTTTAAATCTTGGTAACGAGGTTGCTCGGATGAATGATTAGATTTTACAGGTAAAATATTAGCTGATTTCAATGTTTTATGAACCCACATGTATGTGTCAAAGTGTTCTGTTGTAAATAAATGCAATACATTTCTTTACTTTTCACTATTTTTCAGCATGATATTATGCTAGATGAAATACTTGGAGATGACGAACAGTATTCAAGCTCGAAAGTCCATTAAAATACAAAATAGGAGCAGAGCAAACACGGACCTCCAAAACATCAGAGGTGACATCAGGTGCCATGGAGGAGTGAGCGTCCCTGTCGACCGGTCACATCCGCCGTGTGCCCCTTGGCATGATAGAAAATAAGCGGGAAAATCCTCGACAATTCAGTGTGTATATAATTATAATGGCCTAAAAATTAGTATGAAAAACGTCAGTCAGCATTTGACTTGATGATAAATTGTATTTGCTGTCAAGGTAATTGTTTTGACGTAGAACTTGTGAAATGATGACTTTAAACGAGACTGCTGATATTCCTTAACTTATCTTGTGTGATTCGTATCGAATCAAGTAAGAGATATAAACCCAGTATGCAGGTGATGAATGTTTATTGCTGCATAAGTAATGGAAGATCTCTTATAAATGTATAAATATTCTACATACTTTTCTTTCTAATTGGAACCGGAAACCCCAGAATTTTTTTCTATTTTTTTTAAGGAGTGAATATTATTTTTTAAAGGCGGTTAAAACGTAGGTTTTTAGAATACATCAAAAGAAAAATTTAAATCGAATACAAATAATCATATCCTTAAGGTAGAATATGGAAAGGCATTAACTAATTTATCTTGTTATTTATTTAGATAATAGCTTAAGATAGTTATAAATAACCAAATGTTTTTATTTACAGTTTTAAATGTGATTGATTGCAAATGGTTATCGTTCATAGTACAGCCACTTTACTAAAAGTTCATTGCATGCTGTCTGTGACTTCTCTCTATTTGTTTCAGGGATTTCTTGTTGCTCCTTCTTTGTTTACTTTTCATTGCTCTCTTTTCTTTTAGTTTTATACGTACGGCAACCATTACTATGACAACAACAACAATTAAACAAGCTGTCCCGGCACCAATCAGTTCCAAAATCACAGTGTAGTCTAGCTCGGATTTGTTTGACACATTTATCTGTGTGTAAAGACAAAACAACATCTTCAGTTTGAGGAAAAGCAATTTATTGACAGTTTTTCAAAACATTTTTTGTAAAAGTTCCATAGAGAGTCAGTCCTTGACTGTCCAAAAAGCATTTTGTCACTCCACAAACCACTTTACCTTTCCAGATACAGGGGGCTTTTGAAGGAGATCGATGTTTTCAACTGTAGTGTTAAAGAAATGTCCACCTGAGAGGTCGATGAATTCCGTTTTCATATTACCCTGCTTGTCTACGGCTGTCAATTTTGATACATAGGAACAGCAGTTTCCTCTGAAAATAAACGATCGATTTTTTGAAAACTTATAGGGAACTGTCATAGGTGTGCATTGCATATCGCCATTGTACAACGACACCAAGATCAAATTATATTTTTTTCTTCAAATCTTAACGTTTATCAAATAGATATCAGACATGTATGATGTATGTAATTTCTTAACAAATCAAAAAAGTCTAAACAAATACTTGAAGCGGCCTTCACTTGACGTTAAGATATACCGACGACGTTTTATCAATTAACAGTACTTACTTCATTTCATATGTCAATTAATTATATCCCAGTGCATTTGAAGAAAAAACATAGTCAGTTTCAGATTTTTTAAATAGGGACTAAAGACTTTTAAGGACCATCTGACAACTAATTTGAACGACAAACGAGATGACTTCAGCTCATATCTCGTCTTTTATACTTATTTATGCAGATTTATTCCAATATCACCTTCGTATGGTCTTCGCATTTCTAAACCTTTTCGATAATGAAAAACATGTCTTTAATACCATCAGTTTTATGCTTAGGCAGGCAAACATGAGATAGGTTGGGGTTGTTGAGCTTCAACAACCTCGTTTAAAGGCAATATTTCGAAAATTATATAATTTTGATAATGGGTCTTATTAACAAATATAACAAACACTTGGTCAAATTTTAACTGATATGGTTCATACTTAGTCATACTAGACTAGGGGTAAAAAAATAACGGGTAAAACCATTTGATTAATTTGTGATTGGATGTAATTCTATGCAACTAAGGTATTAACTTTCAGCCTTAGTAGTTATATCTCGTTCGACATAAACCAAACCACCACGAACCATTCAAGACTCTCTCTCTCTCTCTCTCGTTTTATAAAGCACCTTAAGGTTGCAACGTAGGTCGACGAAGTCGCTGCTTTCTTTCTTGATATAAATTGGATGTCACTTGGTGTTACATATAGCTCGCTCATTTTGGCCTTGAATTCTACATTTAGGACAACAGCCCAGGTTTGTTGTGAGCAGTTGAGGTAATTCATCATTTCCTCTAGACAATCAGCGGAACGGTTGATCTGGGTGATTTCAGGGGGTGGTAACTCTGTCACCTACCAATTTTGTATAAATTCAAACGATAATCAACAGAACAATAAAATACATCCATGGAATTGACCTCGTGTTGAACATCCTATCTTTTAATGATGAGCAATTACTTCATAAACAAATTAAAAGAATATTATACCTTTATCATCTTAAACTTTGTCATATTTAAAATGAAAATTTATTGAGAGATTTCTTTACCAAGAGAGTAATAGATACAAAGCATTCAGTGTACCGTGAGCGTTCTTGTGATCGTTTGTAAAATTTTTCAAACAGAAAATATTACACTTTGACCATACACTATCCTTTATGACGGTAAAATAAGAATTGAAGTGATGTGTTTTGTTATTTTTCTAATGAACTTTCTTACGCTATTGTCAGATTCGGAGCTGTAAGTATGATTTCTTTTTCCTGGCTTTTATGGGCTCCGACAGACAAGGTCTGAAAAGATCCAGTGTTGTAGGGACAGATTGTCACTGATAAGTCTGATTGACTGTCTAGTCTAAAACAGTAAATATAGACGAATTAAATTGAGAACAATACAGAGACAATGCAAAAAATTCAAAATATTTATCGCTATATTGAAATAAACTTGAATCCTAAAGTCAATGTATTATTAAAATGTTTGCACCTGGTTTAGAAGAGAATTTTATATTCCCAGTTACAGGTTTGATAACACTTGACTTCTCTCGGTTGAATGTGTCCGAGTTTATACTTCCATTAATGCTTACATAAAACTCCTACAAAGACAACACGCTCTAGCAAAACATGACTCAAGTTTTAAAATTAAAATTGTTTCAGTTACATCGCAAATGTGGTTTTCAGACCTCTGATGTGATGTCATAATATGCATATATGTCTCTTTGTGAGGTTTTTGAATTGTCCGTCACAGGGAGTATGCTGAGAATAGTTCCTGTTGGTTTCCTAAGGATGATGTTAGTTACACGAGCTGTTGATGGCATTCCCGTGATGCTTACACTTATGACCACCTTTGTACCTGCAACATTTGCAGAAAAGGACTTTCTTTTGGAATTAGATTTAAATTTTTATGAAATATCAATGAAATATCAAGCAGCATTTCTTTTAAAAATACTTGTAAATACTAAATTAGATAGTAGTTTTGCTTCAAAAATAGACATCTTCACTAGCCAAGGGTTTCCGATCAACTACTGAGTACTCACAATCTCTAGGTTTTGTGAGCAGAATAACGGATCAGTAACCCATGAATAGCGAAAAATCGCTGCAATGAATAAGAAAAAAGACTATTTTTGTGCCTAACGATGTTTCTTGATTTTGATTCCTTTGGATTAAGTCAAGCTTCAAAGTCAAGTAAGACGTATTGCACATACTAGTATTTTGTAATAATATGTTTAGATTCTGTCAAGTCAAAAGAATTATAAATGAGTGACTCTCCTAAAAGTTAAATATTTGCCTGTTATAGGACTTGTTCCAGTAATGGGATACTTGAAACCCATTATGTTTTCCATAAACTTGTAAGTGAAATCAATTTTCCCGCTTCCGCCTACTTTCACTTTCCACGTGTTTGCTTCATTGTTATGAAGTGTCCACTTTCCTGAAGTTGGGTTCTAAGAACGGATAATATACATAAATTAAAAGATTTTTACGAACGTCAACATGTTCAAAAGGTAAGACACTTCCATGTTTATCTACTTGTACTTACTGGAATGGAAAGCACTGTTTTGCTTCCGATAACATCTATTGAACTACCGGCTAAATGCTGCACTGAGCCTATAAAATTTTTAACATATAATTATAGATGACTATAGCAAACATTTTTAAATAAGTGATTACTAGTATGAATTTTTCTAGAATTTTTCTTATTCAAATAATAAGATAATTTTATTCATTGTTTACCGTCAGGTCGATCCAATTCTAAATTGGAAGCATTTGAGAGTCCCTCTATTTTTAATGTCATCAATGACAGTTCCGAATCTCCATTAATCGTGTGTACAGATCCAGGTTTGGATTCAAAAGATATCACCTCCAATGTCGATACTCCCATGTTTTTCTAGAAACAATGACAGCAACTTTATTATTTTAATTTTAATCTTCCCAGAATGATTGATAATTGGGGTATTTTAGGTATGGTATCAACCTATTCTATATGTATTTAGCTAAGAGTTTTCAGTCTATTGAAGAAGGTAATGTCAAATGCATTACACCTCAACAAATGATCCAAGAATACTCCCAAGAGACATGGATGACGTATGAACAATTTGTCCTCCTGTTGCAGATGCTATTTTGTCAAATAGATCCAGTCCTGCAAGACTCCGACGAACCCGTCCTAGAACACACAGGGAGAATGTATAAATCAATACATCAATACAGAGCTTTCTTCAAATTTTGGTGTACTTTGAGTTATAAATAAATGTATTCAAATGATTACTGGATACATTCTCAAACCGTACGTATATTAAGATATTTTATTTTAAAAATGACTCGAATACGATGTTGATATACAGTTAAGGTTTAAAGTTGAACTTTCTTAACATTCATTAATAATGTCATAAACGAAGGAGAAAGGAAAATGACGAATGTTTTATTATAGAGCTGGATCACACACCTGTCGTCCTTTTGTTGTTATTCGGAATACATTGGACACTATCGGGAACACTAAAGGCAGACCGACGTCTACGCCCGCCACAGTCGCCTCTCAGAAAGTACACAAGTTTTATATGTTTGCTGTTGATTAAATGTATTACTTCTCTCTCCCTCTCTGGATCTTTTGCGTCGGCATCAGTGAAGAAAAATACACATGATCCAGGATTTGCTGCCTTCAGAGCTGAAAAATAATGATTAAAAAAAATGAAACCACCTGTTTATTCTAAAATAAATTCTTAAGGACTACCCTAATCACATGGGAGGGGAGATTGGTTTTTCAATTTAAATACATTCAATGGTTATTTGTATAAAGCTTTCATTAGCAATATTTCATACTCAAACCAAGTGGAGCCAGTCAAGTCAAAAACCTACAATATGTTTTATATACCGGTTTTTTTTTTAAACTGAATAATATTAAACAATATTTTATCAAGAATAATTTCTTTTTTATTCAATTAACATAAAAGTATCCATTAAAAAAATAGTCAAATGAACTCTATTATTTTTAGTCAATTATGCACCCTATATTTGTAAATATTTTTTAGAAGTCTTTGTCCAAATGTTTTCAATCTTCAATATGATGAAGAACATAGCCAAATGATTACAAAAAATGATTAAAATATATACTTTCCCCCTCTAACTAATGAAAGATTTTTACCGATTAGGCTATTTTCCGATACTCATATTCTTGACCTTTTTGCACTTACACTGGATTTATAATAAAATGACTGTTTGGGGTTACTATCAGATTAAATATTTATCAGAAACTGTACTTTTATTAAAAAAGATCATATTTTATAGAAAAATTGTAATCAAACACCAAGAATATGAATAGTAACAAATAATTGTTAAAAGGAATGCACATTTTCATTATAGATATCACAAAAATTACACACGATCAAACGATCTACAACACGTACATCTTTGACTTATTTCATCAAGATAACACTATATAGCTGGCAACTAAAGATTTCTGATTTATGCATAAAATATACCATAAATTAAAAGTGCGTACATTGTATTTAATTACAAAATTTTCAACTTCTAAAAGGTGCCTATTTTTCTCTTATTCCAGAAATATTTTGCCATTAACCATTATAAGCTAAAAAATATATGTTGAATTAAGATTATGTTGGCATGATTGAATCAATTTCAAAATGTATTTTCTACCATTTTTATTGAAGCAAATTAATTATGACAATGCGGTTTAACACATTTACCAGTTATGATGTCATACGAAGTAGGTTCTACGTTAAATACATTCAATGGTTATTTGTATAAAGCTTTCATTAGCAATATTTCTCTACTATATAAGAACCTAAAACAGTATATTAAATTTATGCGAATAAAATTTTCGCTATTTCAGTTCTAGTTAATGTTAGCATGTCAATTAGTAAACAAACAATGCGCTTGCTTTAACCCTCTACTATATAAGCATAGAGAGACAACAAGCATCTGTCTTATTTAAAGAAAAGTCTTTGATTAAATTAAAAAAAATGTTCAAAATTAAAGTTAATATTTACCCATTCTTATATAAATTGGTTACACGCACATCATGTAAAGTCAATAAGTGTGATAATATATCAGAACTAAAGCACTACCATTCACGAGTCCCGCCAATGCCATTTCTGGACAGTCACCACCACCATGAGCCACCATTCCATGTAGCCATTGCTTCATCTCCGATCCATCGGTTGTAACGCGGAGGGTTGTATCTGATAAAAAATTTAGAAATTTTAGAATTTGTACTCACCCTTGTTTTCATATATATACGCGAGCTTATTTTTATAAATATATAATACTGTATTCGGACAATGGAAATAGTTCATACGCGGAAAACACGTATATGAAACTGTGTAAGTAGGTTGAAATATAAAATTCTATGAATCAAAAGGCATAGCTAGCCAACTGTCTTTTGCTATCTGGTTTCGTTTGTCATCGTGTGTCGTTCGATAAACGTTCATATTTGAACATTTGAACTTTTCTCTGCCAATTTCAACTATTTTTGGCATAAAACATCTTGGTTAAAAGGGAACAAAAATTATAAATGCAATCATTATGCAATTATGCAATCATATAAAATCTTTACTCCTGGACATCAAGCAGTCAAATAGTTGGCATGAATGTAATAAGCATTGAGTCGTCTACCTAATTTGTGAAATTCAAGGTCCAAGGGTCAGGTGTTCTAGTGCTAGGGCGGAGTTTTATAAATCATATAAAGAAAGTGTATTATTTCTTTGAAAATCTTCTTTGCTCCTGGATATCAGACAAATAAACTCTAAGTATAGTTACGTATGTATAGTCAAAATTGTGAATTTCATCCCCCTCGGTTAGGGGTTTGGTATTAGGATAGGGTTTTATTGATTATATGGTGAAAATGCATTAATTCTATGAAGATCCTCTGTGTTCCTTGGTATGAAACTAAATAATTACATATAAAGTTGTGATGAACAAGGCTGCCTCTTTCAAAATTGGAATTTTCGAGGCCATAGGTAAGTGGTTCTGCAGTTGAGTAGGGGATATATAAATTATATAATGAAAATACATCAATTTTTTGAAAATCTTCTATGCTCCTGGGTATTAAACAACTTATTACATACATACGAGCGGGGATAAAAAGTTCGTATCTCTATATTTACAAAACCACAATTCAGATCAGAATGAAATTTGGCTCGCATAGAGTCATACAAATGTTCTGTAAATAGCATATGTAATAAAACGTTTTGCACCATGTTTTTGTCGTCACAATGTGAAAATGACGTCAATATGTAGATCACTCGTGACAAAAAATGGTTGACTCAATCGTATTCGAGAAACGAACGACTGTAAAGTTAAACGCATATCTTGAAAATTCCTTTATAGATGTTTATGATAATTTGTACACGGTTTATGACGACAAAAGACTTGCCAGAACTTTTCTCTTTAATTGGATTGATTGTTTTAATGAAGGAAGGGAGATGATTAAAAATGATGTTTGTTCTGTTGCCCAGTGAAAGCAAGCTGGTTAAGAGACTTGTCCTTTGTTTAGCAATATATTATAAAAGATTGCCAACTTACAGTTAAAAAAAATAGTTGAATATCTTTACAATAATATAATTATTAAATCCTTAAGAAATCGTTTAACTTAGACTTTAAACATATAAAATATGATAAAAAGAAGGCACCCATAGTTTATCCACATTGAATAAATGACGCTCCAAAGACAGGGGATTTGGGTTTTGGTCACCATGCTCATTCTTTAAAAGGATACCATTATCCACCCATACTATTCCGAGTCTTGGCCATTTCTGACAAATGGACTGTTTTTGATTTAAAAAATAACTTGCATGGTAAGAAATATGAGTCCGGAAAATTTTTAAGCTTCTGTGACAGGACGCTAAGACGCATGCCACGTGACTGCCTATATCCCGTGATCCACGCATGGGCAGAACAATAGCAGATGCGCATTAAAATCGGAGAGGACTACTTAGAACAATTTTCAGCACTGAAACCCTATATCATTTCTTTTTTGGAAGTTATTCAATTAGTTCGCGATCTACATTGTATTTGGTCACCCTTCGTAGTTATGATTAGCAGGTGTGCCTCTTTCAATTAAAATTGCGATTCTCATTGCCCCTAGGTGAGGGGTTCTGGTGTTAGGGCGGGAGTATATAAACTATCATGGTTATTATGTTCCCCAAACGAAGTTGGGGAACATATTGTTTTTTTCTGTTTCTTAATTAAAATATTTTGTCCGCGAGTGATCTTGTAAACTACACATCTGACTTAGGTGAAACCTTTTTAGGGTCAGTAGGCATGTTATGTAGATTTGCGGAAACTTAGGTCATTTTGCGCGCACGTGCTTGCAAGAGCGCGCACGTGCAACACGTAAAATGACCAATATAAGGGATATAGCCGTAACTTTTCTATTTTTTGATGAAATGTTTTGAAACTCATATTGTAAGGATACATTAGTAGTACAGACAAGACGACATGGTCAAAATAGCAAGATATCACGCGCATGCACGTGCGCTTTGCTCTGATTGGCTGAAACTAGAGTCTCAACATCTTTCTTGTTTTTTGTCATAATTCTTTGAAAGTTTTAACATAGTCATACATTATGAAGATCTACAGTATGATATGTAAGAATTATCATGAAAGCACGTGCATACATGTGTGCTGCAATCTGATTGGCTGAAACTTAAAATGCCTATAACTTTCTTGGTTCTCAACAAAACGGGATGAAATTTAGAATATGAATAGATTTAATTGATTCCCAGATTATGCTATTTTCAAAATTGAATGCAAGGACATGCATGCACGTGCGCATGCGCAAAAGCAATATTATATTTGAAGAATACTAACATTTATATTTGTATTATTTTTTTTATTCTCATTATATATAAAGATATGTTAATCGTTTAGCCAACATGCCGTGATCATCTAGCATATGTATGAACGTGCGCGTGCTTGCAAAAGTTAAATGAGATTTAGTTGATATCATTTTTACTTTTTTATTCTTAAATGAAATCCTTTGATACTGAGCAAATAAAAAAGTCTTACAGGAATAAGGCATAAAAAGGGATCTGGAGAGCGTTTGGGGAACATCTGTAACGGTCCCCGTTACAATTAACACTAGTTTATAACCATACTTAGCATTCTAAGTGTATAGTTATAATGAGCAATGGTGCGTCTTTCAAATTTGTGAATGTGAATGTGAATTATGCTTCTTGTTTAAAACATGAACCAACTTCAATGGTTGAAAAGTAGTTATATGATGCCCAGGCACATACCGATATAAGGCCCATGGGCCTCTTGTCTCTTAACAAGTCATGTCTAGGTCTAAATATTTTTATGCAACCTGTCGTTTGTTTGAGAAATGATAATTTACAAAAACATACGTTCCTCTCAATAGGAATCAATAACTAGATAGCATTCAAGACCGAAAAGAGACATTAGCATTTCTTGTAGACATATGTAGGCATACTTGGATCATTAAATGTGGAAAGTATGAAGTTGGATGGTCCACTTGATCCAAGAAGAGATGCTTGATTAACGATATCTATGCTATGCTGAGTTGCTTCTCTTATCTCTCCACTCATAGACCCTGTATCGTCTATCACAAAGACCACAGAGAGTCCTTGAGCCAAACAATTGTAACATGGGTTTTTGTATGCCATCCCTAGCATTTCTTTAAATTTGTCGACTCCAAAAATCGAAAGCAGTCCAGTACCTTTATAAGAAATAAAATGAATGCGTTAAAAGTAAATTGTAATATCTGTAATCGTAGAATAAATGATAAAAAACGTTACCATTTCCAATGAAAAAATCATAGGTAGCTCGAATGGCTGCCTGGCCCGCCTGTTGATGTAGGTCAAAATGGGGAGATAACTCAGGACTTGATGTTTCCTTGTTTATTCCCCCTGTTGCTGGGATATCTTTACTCATATCGTTTGGACCTCCATGACTGCATTTCCCCATACCGGAAGGAAAATTACCTATTTGCAACAATTTTCATACCGTATACATTGCAAACCGTAAAATTTACATTATAGAAAATAAGGTAATTTAATCTTTAAATTTAACAAATAATGTAATCAAAATACCTTATCTTATCACGTTCAGATAACATATTCAAAGAAAAATGGCTAAAAATCATTGATTTACATAAGGATTTATGAACCCGTTTCTAAGGAAATGGATTTCACTGGATACCAGTCCCTGAATACGTCCATAATAATTTTTAATTGTGTTAAAGCATTACGTAGGACAACATGTTTTAAATAACAAACGCTTTTGAAAATATAAAATTTTTACTTTCCATTCAATGCTCGATTCTTGCTGATTTTGACTCTTAAAAATAACATTTTAAAGGGATCCATGTTACTTAAAATATGCTCTTGTGAAAGGAAGATCTGAAACAAGACCAGTAGAATATACATGAAAAATAAAAATAATTTCTTACAGACTTTAATAGTTTCAACACTATACCTATCGGTTTGTTGATGTGCTGGTAGCTTGTGTAGCCACTTGTTAGAAGCTGACCATCTGACCGCATGTTGTCAACGCAAGAAAAGTCCTTAACTCTAAGAATCAAATCATAATTTAACAAATACCAAGAAGTACAGATCTGCAACCCTTCAATGATTGAAAATATGAAATATTTTTTTAAAACATGATTTAAAAAAATGAATAGAAAATATCATCTTACGCTTCCTTGGAGTAGTTACAATTCACACATGCTACCATACTGGGGTCAGATACCTTTAGAGGAAGAGATTGGCCTGAAATACCTGAAAGACAGCAATTATCCAAACTATGATTTTTTTTAAAAAAAGTCAAATTAGATAGTATACAACACATTTACAGCTTTTGATCAATTTGACTAGCTAGTATCAAGCAGATTTTAATAAATGAACGAAAGCATAATTAGTTATATTTATAGCTTATCTCGATTTAAATGACAAGTTGTTGCTTTTTTAATAATTGAGTATTCTTAAGACTTCGAATTATTTTTTTTCTATAGTACAGTGTAAATAATTGTAGGAACATGTTTGAATACATTCTGTATTTCAATTTTAGATACCGAGAATCATCGATATTTTACCTAATTCTTCACACACTCGATCTCCAAACATTTCTACCCAGTTTGTGTTGCTGTAGAACTCTTGCAGTGTAAAGAGATATTGTCCAATCAGATCTCTGATAGCATCCCAGTTAGGATTAGCTGTTTGTCCTTGATGAATAATGTTTTCCCTTAGAGATTGCAGAAGTAAGTGACCTTAAAAAAAATACAAAAGTACTCAAAAATTATTTAATAGGTAACATGAATTAAACGTTATAAACTTTATTGAAGACGTAGTTCTGATACTTTTTTTCAAATATTTAAATATTTTTTTATTCAACAAGCTAGGTTACAAATTAAGATGTACGGAAGAATGGTATGAAAGAAATCATTGTATGCTTGTTTCAAATATAATACAGATATATTTGAGTTGTCTTTTCGGATATTATTTATATACTGACCAGGACAGATGAAAAAAAAAATGAATGCTTAATACAGTTATTATGTGCTCTTAAATACTAAAACTGATAAAAAAATTCGGTTCATATGAACCTGAAGCACATTTGCAGCTCTGTTCTGCAGCATGCTAAATAATAAAGAGGGTGTGTGTGTGTATAGAGCATTTATTACAAATGCCAAATGAGATTACATATTTTACAATTTCAGAATGCAGCAGAAGATGTTGCCCCACACCTTATACAAAAGAAAAATAGTACATACATGTATATTTTCTACAACAATAACAATAGAAACATTAAACAAAAGAAACTAGTACATGTATTCTCTACAATAACAATAGGTATGGAGGATTTAGGGGTGGAGGTGGGTAAAATTTGTAAACCACATTTTCGGAGCCAAAAGTTATTTTGATAAGGATAAGGCTAATAGCCGTAACTAAAGGGCTCTTAAGCCTAAAACCCGGAAAATCCCCTCGGGACCCATGGATTCACACAAAATGGTGATTGATAAAAATACGCAATTTTGTACGTATTTAGATCACATAAATTCCTTTATATACATAAATACACCTATTACGTATTTTGAGCAATTTTGCTTGTAAATGTTGAGAAAAGAAAATGATAAAATTCTTGTAAATCGATATGTACAGTTTTTTTCCCAGGATAGTTGAAAAAAAATGAATGCTTAATACTGTTACTGTTACGTATTTTGAGCAATTTTGCTTGTAAATGTTGATGTAATAAAATTATAAAATCTTGTAAATCGATACAGCTTTTTTGTTTCTATTAAATTCCTAAATTTGTTATTGTAGTTTTTTTTATGAATACCATTCTGAAATATACATTTTGTATAGATGTTTATAGATGTATTTTAATAATGAACAACTAATGAATAACATTAAAACTGTCAATACATTCTGAAACGTATTAAAACCTTCTGTGGATAATTTTTAAACAAATATTGGAAAGTGCTTAATGTTTATCTAGCTAGAAATAAGAAGTTCAACTTATTTAACAAATGCATATGTAAAAGCGTTAACGTAAAAGAAGCAAATGATTAATTTGAATAATATTTTGATTATGATTATCTTCCAGATACCCATTGTTTAAATTGTTATTTATCTCGATTTGTTATTACAACACAGATATTAGTTTATTGTTTTGTTTTTACCAGCAACAATCTGTTCGCAATTCATCGTCCTTGAGGCCTCGTCCATATAATTTCTCTGCGCCATGTTGTTCTTATTAACAATATCCACAACCGTTTTTGCAAAATGAACAAGTCCATCGTTGTCTTTTGAAGAAACACAAAACAAAACAAGAAAAATACAGTATATGTTAAATAAATTGTTAAATAAAATGTCAAAACTTTTTAAGGTAGGTCCGTACTTCCAAAATTTTATGTCAAACTAATAATTTTTTTAATTTTTAATTTGAATACCTTAGATAAGATATCTTTGCAAGTGAATTTTCATACAACATGTCTCAGAGTACATACCTCCAAAACTTCAACAGTCAAAATTGATCTTAAAGAAGTGATATATCATATTTCATTTAGCTATGCACCAAATCTATGTTGAAACTTATGAATATCAAAAATATTCATTTGCCAAGAGAATATTTTAAATCTTTACTGGAAAACGTTAAATTGATGTTGAATCTGCCCGAGATAAAAATCTCATAATTTCTTTTATCTTTAATATTTCTAGGTCCATAAGGGCAGTTAAGAATTTTGTGTCTGTATATTACTAAATAACATATAGTTCTTACGGACAGAGTGCAAAGTGTTAAAATTTCCTTGAATAACGATGTTAAATGCTCAATTCCATTAAAATAAACAAATACATAATTGCTAAATTATTTTCAATCATCCAAATAGATTTTTTTCGACAGATAAGTGATAATCAGAATTTTATATTGGTGTGTAAAATTTAAACCGGATCCGTAAAAGTATGGACCATCCTTAAGAACTCTTAGCTAAATTTTACCAAAATCAGTTATATATGAAACATAATCAGACCTGCTATATTTTGAGAAGTTACATGTACATAATAGTATAATGATAATATCCATTACTTATTGGACTGAATCAGAGGATTAAAGTACAGTTGTAAAAAAAGTGAATAAAGGCAGAACAAAATTAAGAGAATTTTAACAAAGAACATTTACCGAAGTATTTTGCTATGGTGCCGTCTGGATCAGACGAGTTGTATTTTCCTGGATCGATGACGTCAGCTATAACGTCTGCAACAGCATAGTAGATACCGGCCTGTGTGATGCTGGCGTGGGTGTAATCTGGTCGTCCGCTTGTACTCTCTTTAGAGGGTAAAAATGCTCTCGTTATATGGAGGCAGTATCCAAATGAAAGTAGAAAAAACAACTTCATGTTAACTGTTAATATCTCTAACAACTGTTTCAAAACCAGTGTTATGATCTTGATCCTGGTGCGGTTTAAATAAATCCTGTAAAATGAAATTTGTCTACTTTTATATCCACTGTTCGCGTACCTTAAATGTCTATGAAATGATATCAGATATTTTATTGCTCCTCAGATATAAGGCTTCCAACAGTGCTTGCAGACCGGGCCTGGTGTCATGCAAAGACATTTTTCCACGAACTCGTCAAATTCACAGAACTTTATGTAATATTCAGAAAATGTCAATAGTCTTTTTTCTGAATAATCGTGTAACATTTTGTTTTGATTTTATCTCATTGATCATTTAAGAGTGCTTATTTATATGTATGTTTGTTTTCTATAGAGTTGCAACATTATTTGATTTTTTGTCGGACACAACATTATTTTAATACTTACACAATTTCCACTAAATTTTTTTCTTTAATTGAGATTGTTGAAATCCCTATAACATTAATTTATCTTATCACTAATCTGTCTCGGTTCAAAAAAATTATCGTTCTCGGAATATGCTTTTGATTATCCAAAAAAGTGGGGAGATATTAACATATCAGTATATTGTATGTACTAGATAGGAAAAGAAAGTTGACGATGGAAAAATTGAAGTCATCTTGTTCGTTCACATAGTTTTAATTTATTTGGTTTTGAAATCGAAATGTAAATAAAGAATTGAGAGGGGAACATTTTCTTCGATTTAATTTTCGGACTTCAATAGAGGATAATTAAATTTCTTTTAGTTTAAGTAAAAATTCATCCTGAATAAAACAAAGTCTTCTGTCTTCTCTGTAATTGCAGATTTTCTCGGAAATACAAATGATCATAAATTCTTTTCTGCTTGTGCAATTTTTTTTAAGTTCATAAATTTTAACCATTTTAAAAATAATTAGTGTTGTTTATTTTTATTTTTTTTTTTAAATAAGAGCAATCAAATCTAGCAAATAAAATTTTACTGCTTTCTCAGGAAAAAAACAAAAACAAAGCAAAACATTGTTTTAAAAGGGTTCTAGGTGATGTGATCATAATATATGCTTTGTTATACAATTGCTTATGAAAACAAAGCAAATCCCTTCACACCCAGTGACTCCAGAACTAAATCTTTCTTTAAATAAAAAGATAATGATTGTATTTGTGTGTTCTTTGGCGCTTAAACTTTCTCTAGTTCAACTTGTTAAAAGTAAACATAATATCAATCTTTAAAGGCAGATTCATGGAGGTGCGATATGAAACTTTCATTTATCATTTTACTTAATAGCTAGTAATATATTATAAATGGCAGCCAGACATATTTTATTAAAACTACATCAATACCGAAGATACCTTTGAATTAATCATCATTCTTATGTTTATTCAGATATGTGACCGTGCAAATACACAATATAATGGCGTTGTAAATTTGATAAAAAACGAAAAAAGTTCTTAAAACATTCGTAAATTTAAAAGAACATCTATTTTCCCTTAAAAACCACGCTTTATGATATCACAGATAACTGCCTTTTAAACACAAACAGTACTTCGGAAATTTCCATTTTGATTAGTCACCAATTAATGAAACATATGAAGAAAACAAATGGTATTCAAGATCAGAAGTCCATAAAACGATACAAAATAGGTCCGTGTTTTCTCTTGAATAACCAGGGTCCATTTTATGCCCTGTTTACAGGTTTTTATTGTTTGTAGAATTTTTGAGATCGATCACAATTCGTTATCCTTTTTCATCTAACAGGTGTATTTGAAAAGTCGGACAGATGAAAAGAAATATTTCCATCTTATAGTCCAAATCTGATTTTAAAAAAAAACCCAGATTAATTTAATGAAATTGAAAAGACTCAAAATTATTCTTGATTACTGTATCTAATGTTAAGCTTATAAAGCCTCTAGTGACGTTCTTCACACATTGCCTTCAACTTTTTTAAACAAGACTCAAATGAAACGTAAATGAACTCTTTTTGTACGTATGATTATTAGATTTTTGGAGTCAATAAGTATGTTTTATTCTTGAATTTTAATATAATATAAAATAATGTAATAAAAAATTCCTATTTTGAAATTACATAATGTATTTACTAGCTATCAAGAAAAAAACTGTCAACTTTATCATCGATATTTTAGAGGTAGACTTTGTATTGGATTTACTTTGAAAGATCTGAAGTAGTGCTAGACGATTCACTGCAGGACTTTCTTTTTTATTCCCGACAACCATGGATCTTCAACCTCAAATAACATGTCGATGATAACTCCCTGTTTGAGTACTTTAAAACTTAATAAAACAATGATATCTTTGTTAAAGTTTATCTGACGTTTTGCAAGATCAATAACACAAAAGAGAGTCCTTATTTTAAATAAATACGATATTTACTTAAATAAAAGAATTACATGAAAAAAAAAATGAAAACTTAAGTCATTTTCAAATAACCCTTAATTTTTTGTGTAGTCTTGTAGAAATTGTTGTTAATCAGATAATCTTTTCATTTGTAGGTATGTTTTCGACATTTGGAATGATTTATTTTGTTAAAATCTACCTGCATTTGTTTGCTTCTTAAAAGTCACTGTATCTTTTAAAGGCACATATATCACATTTTTTTTTTACTTTTAAATCAATTTCAATTGAATTTTCTAAAAAAAAAAAATGTCAATCAATATCACAAGCATTGCCCTACGCTTGATTTTAAGTCGAAATATCATAAATTGATGAACAAAATCATGAATCATATCAACAATGTCTCGATCATTTGATTACTTTTGCATTTGGAGTAAGGATATGGAAATAACGAACAGTATTCAATCTCAACGTCCATTAAACAAATATACAAAACAAAGCAAGCAAATTCACGGATATAAACATCAGAGGTGGATCAGGTGCCATGGAGGAGAGCATCCCCAATTTTATTTCACACCCGCCGTGTGCTCATTGTCATAATCAGGAAATAACTTGAAATTTTCAATTCAGTGTATAAATAAACTAACAATTGGTATGAAAAACGTCATCAGCATTTCATTCAATGATAAATTGTATTTGCTGACAAGGTCATGTTATATTTTAGAACATTTCTTTAAAAGATTTAACCCGCTCACTCCTTGATATTTGTTTCATCAACTTGCTTGTCAATAATTTACCTGGTTTGCTAGAAATTGTTATCTTGTTTGAGAGCATGCTCTTGCGTATCGGCAATTTTTTGACTGAGATATAAATACTCCGTATGCAGGTGATGAAATGTATATTGCTGCATAAGTAAGGGAAGTTTTCACGATAGAAAAGTTAAAGTCATCACGTTTATCATATAACTTGGTTGTTAGATTACCATTAGTGTCTTTTTCAAGTAAAATATCCAAGTATGAAGCAGATCTGTTGGACTCTGTGGTATCTTTTATCTCAAGCTCACCAGGATATATCGTGTCGACGTAGGAATGGAGGCAGTTTTCTTGTTTTAAAAAATATGGAAATTCTGCTGTATATGAATATTAGAGAACAAAGATCGGATGATAACGGAGAACAATACGTGCAATTTTTCCCAACAGATTGTCTGAGGACTTTGACTCCCCAAGACTTTGTAGATATTATCAACGGAGAACTCCAGCATTTTTCTAATATATACTTCAGAGTAACTGAGTGTAGAATCATAATGAATTTCAACAAAGATTAGATTATAGGAGGCCAATCACAAGTTATAAAAATGTCAAATTTGTAGATAATTGTATGTTTAAAAGGCGCCTCTTTATAATTACTTTCATTTTTTGCTTTTGAATTTTAATTTCTTTTCATGCATTATTAGCCAAAAATAACGTCCTCGTCATTAAAATTTTCTTACGCTAAATAAAAGAAAAAAAAAACTAAATAAAATTACAATTTGTTTAATTGTAGTATATTTTCATAGTAAAGTAACACTTAATTAGACCCCCCGAAAATTTCTTTCAAATGATCATCTAAATCTTATTTCATTCTTTCGTCAGAAAAAAAGAAACCTTGAAGTTAATCCATTATGTTCTTTTAACACTTTTTTTCTAAGAAGTTCTTAAATTACAGAACATTTCTTCCAAGATTTAACCTTTTATTTGCATGTCATTTTACAGTATTTCCAAATCTTGTGGTTTGCTTTCAAACAATTATCTTCTTTGAAGGTAAGGGGTAAAAGGCATCAAATACAGAAAATTCAAATATTAAAAACTTTTTCTATTCTTAAGAAGAATATTTCATTGTATTGAATGTTTTATCTCTGCGATTAGTATCTTCATTCTTTCACAGGAAAAATTTATTTCTTTTATGTGTTTTACTAGTTTTGGATTTAGGACTTCGTGTTCAGATTAGAATATTAAAGAACATGCTCTCGGGTATTGAATGAACTAAGAGACATAAATCCCACATCTCAGTGATAAAGTCTCGTGCGAAAGACCTGCAATTCTCACTTCAAAATGCGCATGGCGAAGGAAAAGTTGCTACCTATTTTTGATTTGGCTTGAACTCACGCTTTTCCAAGCATGGATCGATATCGGAGTGAGCGCTCTACAAACTTATTATATATTTAAAAAAAAAATAAATTTGCTTCATAAGAATTATAAAACAGGTCAGAAAATAATGATGCACAATTGAATTAATCCATCTTTTAAAAAAATAAATATCCGAAAAACATTTTAATAGGATTCATACACATTATGTGGAAAGGTCTTAATTATGTAATAGGTCTGGTATAGAGATAATAAATTAACTGTGTGAAGGGCATGTAATAAAAAAAATATTTTTTTAATCTATGTTCTTTAATTACCATGAATAATCACCAAAATCCAGGGAGGAGATCTGACTGTTTCAGTGACAACTGAGATACAGGTGAACCCCTGAGGAAATTGACACAGCGCGTGTCTACAGGTAACTGAAATAAGTACACAAACGTTTCTCATTTACTCCCATACCTCACAAAATGCAAGGCCAAATGACAGGTAAGTGCATATGTATCTATTCTATTTTTCTTTTCATTTTTCTGAATTGATCATGCTGGAAAATGTTATCAATACATTAATACATTCCACTTGTTTCTTTAATGTACATAGAAAACACTTGCTGTGGCCTTCATGATGATATATCAAAATTTCAAATAACAATCGAATTTCCACAAAATGCTATGAAGATGTAATCAATACATTTAAACTTATCATTTATGGCAAATCAGCGTCATGTCATCATGTCATTCAACCTATTATGTTACTGTAGCATTTTTTTAATCTCTATAAAAGACACATCTTTTCCTATTTTGATTTATTATTATTATATAAAATACAATGTACATTCTATTAATATAAAGCATTTTTCCGTTCCCCGATCAAGACAACGGCGAGTGTAGTAATTTAAATACATGTGTTGATGGGTTTTATGTTTAAGTTATAATGTTTCACATAACAAATTTAACTCTAGCCTTATATATATGAAACATCTTGTACTTTAATATATATAGGGCCTGTGGGTTCACATCTCTCTGCTGACCATACAGTCCCTCTGATCCTGAAGTAGGGATGACCACTTTTTATCCGGAGGGACATTTTTGCATGGCTATTTAGAAGATTTTGTTTCTCGGACAGAACAAATAATTATATTTTCCCGAGGATGTAATCTGTCGGTAAAATAAATAACATAGCCAAATGTGGGACACTAAATGTTTTTTTAAATAAATGTTTTGATTAGGTCAGTGTAGAATCTTAAGTTTAAGTATTAACTAGTAACCCAATGAATGCAATTAAATGAAGTGACAATTATTAAAAAGTTGAATATAGAGAACACTGATATTAGATATTGAATTAAAAAAGATAGACAAAATAAGCATTTCTTTTTTGTATAAATGTTATAAATTTTGACTGAAAAATGCATTTTAAAAAGCTTATACATTTAACCCCCTCATTTAAATTATTGCAGTTCAAATAAAAAAAAAGAAATAAAAAGATACAATGTAACAGGATGTCAACTTTCTTATATGTTATGTTCCAGGATGACTTTTCTACATGCTGAAACACAACAGGAGCCGTTTGAAGTTCACTTTTATGGCCATTTTGATAATGAACATAATTAATTAAGGTTGTTTTATGAACATGTTTCTGTGGTCCCTAATTAACAACATACATTTCCATGACATTAGGTTAATGAACAATTATCTGAATAAGCGTAAAGTTGTCAGAAAAAAGGACAGATACAAATAGGCGCCTATTCTGAATCCTTCATCGTATACATATAATATGCTACTTAAATGACACGTAAAATTATGTTGACAAAACATCTTAAATGAATCAAATTATCTTTTACGCAGCATTTAAAGTTTTTTTTCTGTTGTATTATTATTACATGTTTACAGTAATTTAGAAACGTCTAAATTTTTATTACTAAAATGAAAATTTTAGATGAGAAATAATTTTACTGCTTCGTGTAAAAACATAATTATTATTAAATCAAACTGAGTGAAAAATAATATAATGACTTGAAATATATATTTCTAGACTTCGTTTCAGGTGTCTATGTACTGTTATATGTTTTTGGCGGATCCTTACCTTTAGTTAGATCCGCACTATTACCTGGCTCGACACCTTCCTCCCCTAACCCGGCCCTTCAGAAATGTATGGCCAGGGCTGGATACTACAACATTACAGACACACCCACAAGCTTTAACAATCCTTTTGCTAAGGCTTTACAAAAATGGTGCAGGCAAGTAGAATCTTTGAAATCCAATGTTACTAAAACTAAAAAAATGAATAAAGATATCTTATCTAATAAGTTGCATTAAGAGAGGGTAACTTTATTCAAATTTATAGAGTAAAAACTCACATAAATAATAAAATTATTATCCGAATTTTTGTTCCTAAAAAGTTTGGTATTTAGCTACATTCAAGATTAATCTTCCCCTTTCTATGCTAACTTTTTAAATATCTGTTCATGAACACAAAAGATATTGTAATAAGAAATTACAATACTTTTTTTTATTCCTGATTTTAATTTGTAATTTTTATGTTTTGTTTTTATATTGCAGCGTCTATAAAGACGTGGTACTATGTGCTGAGAAAGCTATAAAGACCAACGTCCTGTCAAGCCCGGCTGATTGGTTCTTCTCAATGATTTTTAATTCCTCGATAGCCAATGAAACATCTAATATCATGTGCCAGAAACTCAACAGTAAGTCATTCTCTAAAACAGACTTCAAGTTCTTTAGTCTCAAGAGTCAACGACAACAAATCATTTGAAAGTGTTTTTCGACAAAATTATCTACATTTTGACATTAAATATCTTTCATTTTAAAATCTTTGATTAAAAGATAGCTTTCAAGATTATATAATTTCCCTTGGAACTAATTTCTCAGTGGTGTAAATATGATGAATAAAGTTGCTTTAAGGTTATACTTTTCTTAACTTTGTAGAATTTACTGTTTAGTATTGGAATCCGGAACTAGTCTCTCTTCTTTCATCTGTCCAAAGACAAGGTTTTTTTAAAAATGCTTTTCCTTTCTAAACCCACTTTACTTCACAAGTTCAAAAAAGAAAAGTTCATAAAATCTTTACACCATCGAACCTTGTATTTTCATAATATTTTTCATGTATTTATTTTAATGAAATAATTTCTTTGGCCATATTAACCTGTGCATCTGGTATTTGCAGATTAATCGATCAAAATTAAAAAAAAATAACGCCTTGCACTTTCTAATATTTCCTTTTCAATGCTCTTTATAAAAGGTCTCTATTCCTCTGATGGAAAACCTTTACGTTTTAGACTACTGTTTCCTTCTATTATTATTAATGCTCCAGGCAAAGAAAAAAAAATAGATGAAGGTGCATAAAATAGAATCACCTTGTTTAGCAGTCCCCTATGCAGAAATTCGTAGACATATTGCCTTAGAAAACTATAAAGAATCATAAAAACAGTTCTAAAGACACCTTCAAAATATTTCACGATATACCACGCCTGTATATGTGAAAAACGTGTGGACAATGATCGATTTCATAGATACTTCAAGCATGCAGTAAAATCTGTGAAAATACATAGCATAAATACTAACCTCCAGAAATTACAGAGTTGGGATCAGTTGCCAGGAGGAGTAAGCATTCCCTGTTGACTGGTCACAGCCACCGTGAGTCCTGTGTATTGATATAGTAGACGGAAGTTTAATTTGATAAAGAAGTCCTAAACATTTGTATAAAAAGGTCTCTCAAAAAACGGCGCATTGGTAGGTTTTATTAGCTACTACGGTCATTATAACGATCATAACATTTACGAAATGCTGACTTTAAACGAGGATGTTGAGATCAAGTTAACATAATCAACTTATGTAATACCCGGTAAGTCAGACTCAATTTAAACATTATTCGTACTTGGAGTTCTTGAGTTGAAAATAAGTTTGGAGACTTAAACACAATTTGTGAGTGAAAGCGAAATATTACTGTAGTAAATAAGAAATGTTGACAATTGATAATCTGAAGCCATCTCAATTTAGTTGTAACTGGCCTTTTTAGTCAGTAAATCATCCATATATAAAACAGATATTGCAGACTCTATGGTGCACGTTTTCTATTTCAAGTTTTACTGGACACAACGAGTCGACATATAAATAACTATACTTATTTACGACATATGAATATGAACTATAATTAAGGCTTCTGCGATACTTTGAATGTCGAGTTGAAGGCTTCGGCAAGTGTTTCCTTCTTCTCTTGTAAAAGACTTTCTGCTTTATGGTAATAAAAAAAGGTAGGTTAAAAAGCACAGTAAGTGATCATCGCGATTTCACCAGTTTGTGGGAAATTTGATTTGCAATAAAGAATTCCAGCATCCTTTTCAGATCAACAGAGTAGAATCAGAGAAATTTTTAAGTTATTTTGTAGACGACCAATTACAAGATGTGAAAATTTCCGAGAACTTCCATTTTATTGAAGAAACAGTTCTGTATGATTTGAAAAAGCCTAGTTTTTATTAACCGTGATGTTTAATGTGTAGAAAAGTTGAACGTTTTGACGTTATAGACTTATAAAAAATAATGATTTTCAATTTTCAAAAGTTCTCAAGTGTTTGAAGATTCACTTTTGACTTATACTACTTCTAGAATATGTTGTAGTACAGTGCATTTGAAGTTTCTTCTTAAAAGCCGTTAATATTTTGGTAAATGGTAAAGATAGGGGCTTTTCTTTTAATGGCATTTACTGGACCCGACAATATATCTTTGTTTTGAAGGATTTTTATGAAGTTTAGGAATCCAGTATAGGTATGCTAGATCAAACCCATTTTGATTGACTGAAATGTCAATTTGAAATGAAATGTGAATTTGAAGAATTTACCCTTGGAAAGTGAAAAAGGAATTAAAAATAAAAGTTGAATTGAAGAGCCTTTAAAACACAAATGATATTGTTACCAACCTTCTCTGCTGGAATCATTTCACATATACTTTGTACAATGTACTATATTTAACTATAGTTAAAACTTTGAACTTTAATCAAGATTTTTTCATATGAGATTTCGAAACTTACTTTCCCTAGACATAAACATTTTATTATGATATAGGGATTAGAAAATATGTTGGTATGAAAGTAATAAATAATATTCTCTTTTAATATTAAAGATGTCCATGTATGAATTTAAGAGCATGAAATATTAGTATTTGAAATTCAATTTGATTTACTATAATAAAACTTGAACGCTAAAGTTGACTGTAGTAAATATGTTTTTCCCTACTCAAATAGAATTTGGAAAAAAATTGTCTTGCATGAGGCGAGTCCAGGAAACTCGAGCATTAAGATGTGTGGATGCCTTGACAAGACCTATAAAGAAGGCAATGATGAAGATCTACAGCGGGAACATCACCTCTATGGCGTCTCTTGCACAAAAAGGTTCTTGTCTGTAAGTCCTTATAAATCTTTGTCAGTCAAAATAAATGAAATTTAAATTTCAAAATTTAGCCTCGGTAAATAAATATCTTGTTATTGGAATGAAAATTTTCAAAATACTAGTAGTTTTGAGAATTTTCAAAACACCCTTTTCCATTTGTTTTTGCATAAAGACTTGCTTCTAAATGCTTGTAAATGAGGATTTTTGTTTTACCATTAATTGACCTTTTTTTATTCACTCAGCATATCTGTGGCAACAGCGACATGTTTTCGAGAGAAAGTCAACTCCTGTAGAAGCTATCTCAGAGATTATATTGGAGCCTACAATCTAATTCTTGGAGGAAAATGTCTGGCCATTCTCCAATCTCGGGACAGAAACCAACAGAAAACTAACGTTACAGTGGTCAAACAGTCGCCAGAACAGGAATGGATGTCCACCATCCAATCACTGCTGAATGAGAACGACCGGATCAGCCTATATCCGGGTATCAACAGAGACATCAAAGACACAGAGGCTGAAATTAAAATTATTCCAGATTTAACATCAGAGAAGCCCGAGGAACAAACCACGACTTCCGGTTCTCCTTTATTGTATCCTAATATTCCTCTTATAAATATTCAAACTACCAGGAATCCCTCGGATATGTTGGAGAGAAATGAATCTACGTGGACATCATTGAATGTTTCAGAAAAAGATATCGCAATTCGAAATTCGTCTGAGCAGACTCCTAGAAATATACAGCAGAACTTTGAATCAGAATATGATGTAGACACTTATACAGAGTTTGGTGCAACAACAGGCAAGGTCGTTACAGATGATGATGCGCTGTTAGCAGACGACAAGTCGGGTGGAGGCAATGTCGTTTTTCCCAGCTTCAGTACCCTGGTTCTTGTTATAATAGCAATTTTTATCGTTTACTGGTAGTATTGATATTTTATTTTTTTAAAAACTGTTTTTATCTCTGTTCATTACTTATGATGTTTTACCCTTTTTTCTTTTTTGAAAATTCCTTATTAAAGATTTATAGTTCAATATTTCGTATGGTGTCACAAGTTTCACGTTTATTCAATGTTTAAGAATTATAGCTTACAATGTATATTTTTGTGTTTTATTTACCAGTAATTGTAAAAAGAAATGATAGCTGTTGGGAATTTTTCAGAGAAAAATTGTTTGTAGAGAGACAAATATTATTCAGCATGAAGAGACTCTCGAATCGGAAAAATTTTGTCATGAATTTAATTTAGTTCTGAACCAATTCTAAATTTTCAGAAATTTTTTGATCATTATGTTATGTACAGTGTATACAAATACATACATTGTACATGTATATCTAGGAGACGAAACAGTTTTTCTACATGACTATTTTACGTCGCTATTTTTGAACAGAAAATTGTCCATCCGAAAAGTGCTCGTTTGTTGCATTTTTCTTTCATCCTATTTACATATTGCTTTTATTATTTCAAAATCATTAGTGCAATACTTTTTGATATGATTACTGATGTCCTGTTTAAGTTGGCAGAATCTCAGGCATTTTCAAGAGGAAATTAATTCTATAGTATTTATTACATGTAGTATTTATTAACAACTACCATTTTTTATTTTACTTTTTTGTATGTTTTATTGTTAAGTTAAAATGAAGTTCATAAGATATGGCAGCATTTCATAGTTCACAGAAATGGTAAAGACGTTTATTGAAACCTGTTCTCTACCTTCTACATGCTTAGCCATTAACTATTGTGCAAGTGTGTAGGGAACGCCTTTTGATAGTATTACATGTCCCTTTATTTGCATGCCACAGCAGAAGGTTAACGAGCTATAATTACTTTTTACTATTTTCTAGTTGTTTATGAAAAGATGATGTATACAAGTTTCATGTTTTTGTAAACTTCTATTTTATAAATTACTTCATTATTATCTGTGGCATTTTACAAATGGTGTGGTTAAATTTGCAAATACAATGTGCAAATGTACAATGTGCAAAAAAATTAAGAAGAAATAAATTTCAATATTTGTTTTTAAGTTAACACGCAGTTATCAATTACTCATATAATTTAGAAAACACGCTGATTATTTTGTATATACATGTATTTCTCGATGAAAAAACTAATTTTGCTGTTTTTTTATAGCCATATTACAAGAGTAATGTGATAAAAGTATTTGAAATTATACATAGAAACGACGAACAGTAGTCTAGCTGTAATATCCAATTAAAAATTCAAAAATAAGATCTGAGTTAACATAGAAAATCCAATTTAGGATCGTTGTGCCTTGGAATTCTTGCAACACCGTACGCCTTGCAGCCTCATACCGGTCCCAGGATCGTCTTAAGCCACGGTCCGGAGTCCGCATATAGCTCCCTCCTACAGAATGGGAGAGGATCGTACATATTTTGGCCGTGATTTGCGACGATACAGCCCCAGTGGAAGAAAGATATTCAGGCTTTGAGTGCCTCCTGGCACGGAGAGAATTAATTAAATGCCTCGGAAGAAGAAGCACCCCCGGAGTAATCCATAGATAAAGTAGTATAAATTTTAAAAAAGGAGATAGCGAAAATGATCTATCTTAACAAAATCTAGAAAAACAATACAATTATGTGAAGAGGACATAAAAACGGACTCCAGGAAATTTCAGAGGAGGAATCAGGTGCCTAGGGGTAGAAAATCCTGATTTTGTACGAGGTTATTGATTCAAAATAATCTCATTTGACAGTCTACATCTCGGGCAAGAAATTGGCCTCTGTTCATCATACTATAGATTGAGAGTATATCTATGACTTAAGTGCACAGTATAAAATTTAAAAAAAAAAGACACTTGTATATTGCTACTTTTCTTTGGTATGGTAAAATATAACACATGTTTTGTTTGTGAGATTTAATCCTTTTAAAAATATGATTCATTGAAAGTCAGAATGACATGTCCTAGTCTCCATAGCAGTGACAGACGCCATCTACACAGTGAGGGCGGCCATGGAAACAGTGAAAGCCGCAGTCATCTTGGCCGGTACACACTGTAAAATAAAATGTGCCGTCATATCATACTAGTATACTGATTAACAGAAACGGGTGAAGTTAATCTGTTTAAAAATGTTTAAACTGTTCAAACTGTGTTAAACTGTTTAAATTTTTTTTAGCATATTTTTCTGTATACACTGTACGAGAGCTGTTCAATAAATGAAGTCCTGAACTCTACGACAATAAAGAAATCATATGACAATAAACTTGATTTTCTCTCATGATTGAATCATTAATGAATTGATAAAAGTTTTTGCGACCACTTTTCATCACATATTTTCATTGAAAGAAGCTTAAAAACAAGGGCTATTCGAAACACTGCATTAAAAATGAATGATAGAGAATAAGTAAAGTAGATTGAAATTAAACGATTCATTAAAGCTGCTTTGAAACTTATTAAGAACCCAAAAGAAATATTCACTGAAATATGTGAAATTTAAAGCAATCAATGTGTGTTTTATAGACACCTACGCAGGTGAATTGAATTTTAAATGACCAAAAATGATATAATGGGCATCAAAAATGGGCACCCCCTCCTTGGCGACAAGGACTTGCAACAACGAATGTATTGTTTGCCAAAATTCAACAAATTATCCCTGATGATGTCTGATTGACTTTAAAACACATAGCAAATTTGATAGGCATCATTTTGGGGGTAGTTCACATTTTTTTAAAGAAACACAAGACAGTAAAAAAGCTTGGTACTCAATGGTCACCCTATGTTTTGAAAAATGAGTGAAAACGACAGCGTGTAAGAATATCTAAACAATTATTTTTAAAAATTAGAAATTGTAGTTTTCCACCTTTGTCTGAAATTCAAACAGATGCTTGAAACTTGAATCCATTGCTTCAAACCCTCAAAACAAATTAGAAATAAGATGCACTTGACAAAAAAAAAAAGCAAAGGTCTGCGAAGAGCAAAGAATTGCAAGAGCACAAAAAGGTTTATATGCTGTTTTCTTAAATATAAGTGGTCTTGTTGTTCAAATTCTTATTTGGGGTGGCAGTTCAATTTCCGAAGGAGTCTAGAATTTTGCCAAAAAAATCAAAAAGTTTATAAGAGGAAGGACCAAAAATCAGAAATCCACTACATTTAATTTCTTCATGACAGCGTCCAAATCCACACTCCCTGAAAAGTAAAAGAGTTGGGGATAAACAGAAAGTCAATGTTTTGTCACACCAACAATATTCGCCAGATCGTTCACCTTTTGACTTGTTTCATTTTCCAAACTTGAAAAAAACACCTTTCAGAAAGAAGAAACAAGTCTAGGAAATCATAGGATCTGCCATATTCCAGTATACGAAGGGACGTACTCAAAAATGTGTTCTAAAAACAATCAGAAATTGGATAAAAATGTTTCGGGCATATGTTTTAATCAAAAGTGAATATTTAAGTGAAATCATTAAGACTTAATCATTGAAAAGCGTTTTTGTTTTTTTTTTTTCGAGGACCGAGGACATTATTTATTGAACAGCCCTCGTATATATGAATGTGTTTGTGTTGTCAAACAAATTCTTGTGTAGATACTTGTGTATGTTAAGTAGAAAGTTTTAACCTTCAAACCCTATTTGAATGCCAAGAAGAGTTTTTCAGTAATGAACGAATACTTACTTTTACCGGTGTCTTCGGTACAGGTGCCTATACAAAACAGCCATACTTACTTTTACCAGTGTTTTGGTACATATTCCAATTCAAAACATCATACTTACTTTGACCGGTGCTTTCGGTACATGAACCTTGTTATGGGCCAGAATAACCCTAAATGCCAGCAAAGATCAATCACACAGTTTAAACTTAACAATAATTTATTTACAGTAATATATACAAATCAAAAAGTACATAATTACAGCAAGAATACATACAACAGAGTGTCAGTCTCTTTGTATGCCAGTCTTACTTGTACACCAATGTTATTTTTACGAAAATGTTTTCATGCTTACAATTGACAGGGTATTTATACATTAGAAAATTCTAGAAGTTGTAAATACATGATAATTATTACAGGAATGATGATATTTCTGGACATACAATTCAAGAATGTTCTGGAAAAAATGACCATACATGTTGACCACTCTGGAATGTTCGAGAAGTTTCTTAATGTTACAAATTATATACATGATGAAACAACACAAATACAACACACCTCACAACAAACCTTTACAAAACAACCATACTTACTTTGACCGGTGTTTTCGGTACAAGTGCTTATACAAAACTATCATACTTTGACCGGTGTCTTCGTTTACAGGTGCCTATACAAAACAGTTATACTTACTTTGCCCGTTGTTTTCGGTACAGGTGCATATACAAAACAATCATACTTACTTTGACCGGTGTTTTCGGTACAGGTACAGATTCTGTGGATACAGTTGACTGAACCCGTTGAGCAGTGAACTAGGTGACAGTCGTCGTCATGGTTACAGTTTTCACAGAACACTTGTAGAACAGATAAAAATTTCAAATTTAAAGCAAATAAAAAATTTTTCGTGGCTTTGCTGAAAGATTTCGGTTAAAAAAAGGCACTATTGTGTTCTATGACACAACAGCATTACCCCTAAAAAATCTTATCAGATTTGATCATAAATAACAATGAAGAGAATATTATTTACTTAAAAATTTAAATTGTGTAACATTAATTACGATGAATTTATAAACTTCACAAAAATATTTGAATTATTTTTACACAATTATTTTACCTGTGACAAAGAAAAGAGCCAATATGATAAATAATTTCATCACACTGTCGGTAACACTCCTATTCAATGATTTACAGTTTAGTTTAGGTCTTATCAGACTTTACTTTCGAGCGGTTATTGTTATAGATTCTTATCGTTCACGCGTTGACTTCAACTTTGTGCTCACTTATCGTGATAGGATAATGTGTATTATCAGTTAATCACTTTATTGGATCACAACTTTGGTTAGAACATATATCAGTTAATATATTTATACATAATACCAAAGAGTATTTTCTGCACAGAGCAAACACGTGTATATTTCACAACAAGAATATATGAGAAAACATGTAAATTAAAGGATCCAGTGAGTGCAAGAACTAATTGTCAGTTAAATGTCAAATGCGTTTCTGTACAGATTGTGTAAAAAAAACAAAACAAAACTTTTTTTAAACACAAAAAGAACCAAAAAACCAAACCAAAAAAGTGATATCTCGGAAAAATAAAAGCTTTGCTGAATCGAAATCACGCCCTAATCTGCAAATTTTAATTAATACTTGAAACCATTTAGTTACTTGGTTAATCTATCCAAAGAAAAGAAAATTGAGAAAACGACTCAAACTTCAATCATTTTATTTTCCTTGATCTGTCCAGAAAAAATTAGGTTTATACAAAAGATCTTCAGTAACAAATGAATATATTTTATTTAGTGCTCCATATACATTTATCTAAGGATTTCTTGATATTGCACAGCACACACAAAACAGAATTAAAGTCACACTACTGAGGCAACGCAAATCCCTGGGGTAGTTGATGGCTAGGGAGGGGATTCAACCCACCCCCTATTCCACTGCCAAGTCCATTACAGATATCAATATAACACCCAGGACACAGTCTCCCGTTGAATTCAAAGAACTCCCTTTGGCGACACTCTGGGGGTATGAGCTGTAGAGTACAGGGTCGGGCGGGGCACCTCCCGCCCTGTGAATAGGACCGCCTCCCACCGGCATAATTCCTCCTCCCTGACCGGTAACTCTGACCTACCAGCAAATTAAGATAATTTCTCTGATAATAATGAATAATATGGTTTATTTTATTACAATTGGTGGGATATCTCATTGTTCTTCTTTGCATGTCAGTAAAATTTTATGCTAATCACAATTCTTATCAATTGATTTTTAAGAGTTGATGTAAAAGTCATCAAATATGAAACACAAAATGCAAGTTTATTATTAGATTGAAAAATTAACTTTATTACGTGACAAGAAAAAGAAACGTAATCAAGTATGAAAGTGTATATTCCTTGATTCAATAAAAATATCCTGGGGTTTTTTTAGTTAAGGGTAGGAAAATTTTTTTCCGGAATTTTTTTTTTTTTTTTTTTTTGGAAAAAAATTAAAGAAGTTTAAATTTCTGTGCTTATGATTTAATGTTTAATTTTTAAAATTTTATGGCTCACAAATTTTTAAAGAAAATCTTACCTTCTGAAAAACTCCAGGAAACTGTAATAAATACGAAAATAAATACAAAGAATTTCATTTTTGGCTAGTGAATTTCGCTTTTTTTTCAAAACCTGATCTAAGAAAAAACGTTCTCTTCGTAAATGTGTGAGATTGACACTGGTCAACCTTGGACAGAAATAGGAGTATGTCAAGAAAAATATTTCCTTAAAGTGGCACAGGTCATCAATTACCTATAATGTCGTCAGGAAAATGGTGGTTTAACGGACCTTGACGATTAGGACGTACATTGTAATTAGTAAATAGTTGTTCAGTGACCTTGGTTTTTTTGGTCAAAAAAAGGTTTAATTTAATGTTTTCCAGATTATCATAAAAAATCCAGAAAGTAAGTAATAAGTGTGTCCCTGGCTGTCCTACAACGTCAACAAACAATAAATAATCTATTTTTATTAACCTTTCAACGTAAATCTTGACCAAAAAACCGACCATCATTATTTCACCTTACCGCGGTGATTCCCCAGACTTTGACCTGTCAGATTGTACGTCAAATGACCAGTGTGCATTAACACAACGGGTCATAAAACATAACCTTAGATGTGAAACGTGTTGTGTATGACGTATGCCTTTTTTTAACCAATGACAATTTACATTGGTTCCTTAATCTTTGATTCCGCATTAAAAAAAGGGTAACTAAAAAGTATATATAAACAGGGGCCTAAATGGAAATCATGTATAACAAAGTCTTGGTGACCAAAGTCCACTATGAAGTACCTGCTTCCAGTCTGCATTTTTCTTATCGCCCTTTTTGTTGTTGAAGGTAAGATGTTCCTCCTTATATAGTAAACAAAATGTTTCCAATCGCTTTTAAGTGATTTTCATAATCAATTAAAATTAAAGATCTTTTACTGATATTTTTAACATAATTATCTAAAAAGAAAAATACATAGAGAGTGTTTTAAAACTATCAGTAAGTTTTTTTTTATTTATATTCAATAATGTTTACAAAATATTATATTCATAATAAACAAAAACTCCATCGTCAAATGACTAGTCTGTCTCTCGAATAATCTTAACTTTTCATTTTCAAATATTACAGGTAGGCGATATGGAGAAAAAAGACCTATAATTCACCCAAAAGGCCCTATTGGACTCCCAAAAAAGCCAATTGGAAGCAAAAAAACCATTTGGAAGCAAAGGAATCATTAGCAGTAAGAAGAAGGTGGGATTCTTCGATGGTTTCCATAAAAAGGGAATTTTTGGCGGATCAAAGAAAGGACTTAACAAAGGAATAATAAAAGAAAAAGAAATAATTCCCGGAAAAGGAGGAATTATTCCTGATGCAAAGATTATTCCGGATAAGTCTGGAATAATCGGATGTCCCCCAAGACCATGTCTACAAACACAAGAGTTCATCCCACAAGAATGTCGTAGACCCCAATTCTTCCTCCACAATGGCCGCCAATGTCCCGACTGTGATATTGATATCTGCACAGGCGGATCCATTCTTCCTGATAACGGAGGGGTCTTGGGAGGTGGGTTAGGACCGAGAGGACCTCTTGGACCAAGAGGAAATCTTCCTGGGGACCTTGATTGGCAGAGAGGTTTTGGAAGAAATTTCCCAGCTATTCCAGGAGGAATAAATGACCCAATAAATGGCGGATTTCTCCCAGATCCTCGATTTGGTGGTCAGTTTGGTCCGGATCAGTTCGATGGAGGACTGGGGGGTATTGATCAGTTCGGACTAGGAAATGGCAGACAGTTTGGTCCTTTACCAAACACTGGACTAAATGGACTTAACGATCGCTTCAATGCTGGATTCGGTGATTTTGATCCGTCATGGAACACTGGAAATGTTGGAGATTTAGGTGCTTCCTGGAGCGGCGGATCTATACCGACCAACAGGCGGTCTAGTTTTATCTAATTTTTGCTTTCTGTGATATTTCTATTTATATGACATGAACTTGAAATCCCTCTTTTTTAATAAAACATGTTTTTACTAAAGCTTTGCTATGTGATTTCTTTTTCTGTGTTGTTTTACTTAAATGTATAGAATATATTAAAATAATTTGGACATTTCCCTTTTTATTCGGTTATCTAAACTTATTTCCTTTAAATAAGTTTAATCAAGTTTTGAATGACTAAGTGGTGACGTTTTATGAAACGATTAAACGATTGCTTGTCGTCAATTTCATTGAAAATTGCCGGTAATTTAGATCCACCAATCGTAACCGCCACCTTACTCTCGTTTTTGCTATTTCATAACTGTTTATTGAAAATAAAAGAAGACTTTTAACTAAATGTACGATACTTCTGTAGTGAAATATAAATATAGTTTACGGACATCGCTTAGTATCTAGTATATTCTTAGAAGAGTACGAAATCTGGTGCAACATTTTTAGAGGTTATTCAGACAATTTATTAATTAAGTATAAATAAATAGTTACAGTTTAATAGTTTATTTTTATGCGCCTGGAAGATTTGGTTTCTTTTAAAGAAAAGAATAGCTGTTCCAACGAACACATTCCTTTTTTGAAAAATGGCCCATTCAATGGCCAAGATAAAAAGCAATTAACATCAATGAGTCAAGTAGCAAGAAGTGTGATAGAAATCGTTCCATCAAAATGGCTATCTTTTAAGGAAACATTAATTCGTGATGTGATCAATTGAGTGGCTTGCATGATAATTTGCATAAATGCCGAATATGCATGAAATTTTCATGCAAGCCAATCGATTGATCATCGTCATGAAACCAAAAAAGCTGGCACTTATTCCTTATACATGTATTTACATGCACTTGATTCCGCAAATCCATGTGCTCTAAGCCCCGCTTCTGTTTCTATATGTCCCGCCCCGCACCTGATTTTTTAAGCGCCTATCGATGAAGCAGTATATTTATGTAGAAATAAAGTACAATTACTATTTGTAATTTTAGCTCGGACAAAGACATTGGACTTGTAAATATATAAGGTATTGAATGTCCTCAGCGCAATAAGCCTAAAAAGATAGTGTTGTTTGAAACAGAACAAAGACGTATCTGTTTATTTTAATAGCACAAGAAAAAAAATTAATTTTAGTTCACAGCTACACCCCTACTGGCTCCCACATCGCTGGGATATCACCAAACCTTTTGGTAGTATCTCTGTCATGAGAAAGAAACCGAACGCTAGTCCTTTTCAATTCTGATACATATATCGATGTCACATCCGGGGCACAACTTCCCTTTGTATATAAAGAAGGACTTCCGGCGACACTGTGGTGGAATGAGTTGAAGAGTACAGGCTCGTCCTGGGCACCGGACCTCTGGCAATTCAACAATCAGGTACTTTCTACTTCTAGATCTAAGTCTCTGACCTGTGTACAAAAAAATGAACAAAATATTTATATTTATTTTAATGAAGCTGAATGCGTAATTGTTTGAAGACAATTTTGTAAAGAGAAGGGAATTGCAAAATCCTCAAATAAAATATGTTGAAATTAAGAAAAGTATAAGAGCTAAAATAAAAAGTTCATTCAAATAATACAAGTCAGGAACATGCAAACATAGACCTCTATAACATCAGAGGTGGGATCAGGTGCCATGGGGGAGTGGATATCCCCTGGAAAACTGGCCATGGAAAAATTAGCCGACAATATACCGGTATTGGAATGTGTTAATTTTTATATTAAGATAAAAAATCACAATCTAAATTTAAGATGGACGTATGTTTTAAATTAACTATAATAGTGTTTACATTTATCGTGAAAATAGAACTATTTGATTTAATTTTTAAGTAACAATTACGTCAATATATAATGATAGTAATGTAGTGAAAATCATTAAAAGGTACTTGCATAATTAAACTGGTTATTATTACAGTCATGCATTAAACATAGACAATAATATTATTGACAATATTATTGTCAATAGACAATAAACATTATGTAACTTTCATAAAAGGTAGAATCTTACCTTCTGAAACAGACACGGCAAAAGTAACAAAAACAAAAAATATTACTGAAATTTTCATTTTTCAAATTTCTGCCGAAGGATCTTTTTTTTAACAATTTACAAAATTTTGAATAACCACTTTCCTGCTGATCAGTTATGCCACAAAGAGAGTCAAGCCAATTCTGCTTTCTTTATGCTTGTCACAGTCTGTCTTTAACATCACCAAAATGCAATTGCAACAGACCATGGAGTCAAGGTCCACTGACCGGTCACTGTTACAAAATATGAATATAATATAGTAAGTAAAGGATGTGATTAGAGAACAATATGCTGATGCCATGGGAAAATTAAACAAATCAGAGAAAAATGATAACGGAATTTATATTACAAAAATGACCCATGATTTGAATTTATAGAAAGTATCAAGATTAAGAAAACATTTTTATCCTTGACGATTTATTTCAATAAGATAAACTTAAATACATAACAAGATATAAATCTTTTTTTTTCAAAATCAAGAATAAGTTTTAAAAAGCAAGGAAAAAAGGAAAAAAAGTATAGGCTTATCAAACCCAGGGAAACACTCTTGTAAGCATGTACTTAAGACTGAAATCTCAATGACATTAGATGAGTTTTAGTAGTGATCATTTAAATGGATATTCGACGAAATATATATACTCCTATATAACCTTGAAAAGATATTGATAAGACTGGACGAAAGTTAACCTCTATATTCTCTTGCAATTAACAATTCTTTAAATAACTAAAAAAAAGAAACAGAATTCAAAGAGGTACAGTTAGTACTTTCAAGACAATTTTCAATCCTTGTTGTATAAAAATAACTTATATACTAAAATAAAAAAAAAACCCATAAATACCTCATCAAAAAAAAAAAATACTATGAATTACTATAGTAAACTATATTTTAATATAGTATCAAAGTTTTTTTTTCCAATATTTGTAGTAAATAAGTTTTGAATTTAACTATGAATTTAAAAGTGTCATATTTTATGTTCTATAGCTTATACATGCATATATTCAATATTAAGAAGACATATTACTTGAAAATTAACGTTTTATTTCTGAAATTTACATCATTGGTATAGAAATTTTAAATATTAAAGAGTCAAAAAATATCAAAAGTAAAGCTTCATATTAAATTAAAGTATGAAAAAAAATATATTGAGATAAATAACAAATAGTATTCAAGCTCAAAAATGCATTAAAGAATACAAATCAGGAGTAGAGCAATTATAGACCTTTAACACATCAGAGGTGGGATCAGGTTCCATGGAGGAGTAAGCACTCGGGACCCCCTCCTCCCCTTCGGCCGGTCATGTCCGCCGTGGGTTCCTTATCATGATCGGAAAATATGAAAACATTCGTCGGCAATTCAGTATGTAGATAATTTTGGCCTGACAAATAGATTGAAAAACGCCAGTGAGCAATTGATTTCATGATAGATTGTATTTGCTGACAAGGTTAATGCATCGACCATAGAACTTATGAAAAGATGACTTCAAACGAGACTGCTAATATTCTTGTTTCATCAACTTGCTTTTCAAAAACGTAAATCCTTTTAGAAATTGTTAATACTTAGAGCATGCTCTTGCATATCAAATCAATTGTTAGATATAAACCCGCATGCAGGTGATAAAGGTATATTGCTAAATAAGTAAGGGAAGTTGACAATTGAATAGTTTGAGTTATCACTCTTATCATTAAGCTTTGGTGTTAGATTATCATTATAGACTTTTCTAGTATCCTAATATCTAAATATTAAACAGGTATGATGTGTCAGACTCATTCTATCAAAGTTATCATTATAAACCGAAACGCAAAAGAAACGCAGCATCCTATTTTAGGTGAAAAAAGCTGTGATTTTTGTGCATTGCAGTCTTACAGGGCTGTAATTGGGTACAGTCCACTAATTGTCTTCCCATAGGCGACAATGTTAACGTTTCTTCTCATAGCGATGTCCCTAATTTTCGTTCAGCAATAAGTGACCCCTCAAATCAAAGCACATCAAGTTGTCTTTCTTTGGTTAAAATCTCGAGGTGGCATGTCAGATTCATTTTACGGCAAAGTGCGTCTGTCTGCAGGAACCTCTGACAATGAAAGTGAAATTAGGGAAATTCTCTATGGCGGTATAGTACACAAAATAATTCAGCTAATCTTCTTGATAGATTACATTTGCCAAGCTATTCTGTTAGGAAAGATAGACCTTATCAACAAGTATTAGGCTCACTTTAGTAAATAATCACATTTTTTTTTAATCAAGTCTGAAAATTAAGGAATTTGTAATTTTTTTCTGCACTTCTTTCTTCTCCTACCCTCCTACCGATTCTTAAATAATTAGTGGGATGTACCCAATTGAATTGCAAGGAGGGGCGGATTGTTTTAACAGTCACGTGTTACTTTCTAAAGTTAAAACATAATCACTTAACATTTTTATCAAATATCCGATGGTTTGAAAATTGTGTTTCTAATAGTCTTACTTTTTTCATTTTTGAAAATCATTTGATAAAAAATTCAATTATCTGTAGAATATAACCTGTTGCGTTTTTTCTGCGTTTCAAGATATATATAGCTAACAATGGTAAACTATTGATAACTGAAGTAAATTTTTGTTAAGGTTTGATATGTTAGGCAAAAAAAAAGATTTTAAACAAGAGGCCCAGGGGCCACAGCGCTCACCTGAGCACATCGGCTAGGAAAAAGCACATATCAGATCAGAACTGAAAGTTTACTGAGGTGGGGGGGGGGGGGGGCTTGAATTTTAAACACCCCCCAGGGGTTCATGATTTGAACAAACTATAATCTACACTACCTAAGGATGGTTCCATATAAATATCACTAATCATGGATTTGAAGTACTTGAAAAGAAGATTTTTAAAGGTATCCCTATATATCCCTATTTATCTAAAACTTGGGTCGGCCATTTTGGCCCATCCCTAGTCCCGGGGGGTCTTGTTTTGAACAGACTTGAATCTACACTACCTGAGAATGATTTCACATGAGTTTTATCTTTCCTGGCCCAGTGGTTCTTGAGAAGAAGATTTTTAAAGATTTTTCCTATATATATTCCTATGTATATCTTGGGTCGGCCATTTTGGCCCCACCCTAGCCCCGGGGGTTATGGTTTGAACAAATTTGAGTCTACACTACCTGAGGATAATTTTACATGATTTTTATCTTTTCTGGCCCAGTGGTTCTTGAGAAGAGGATTTTTAAAGATTTTTCCTATTTATATTCCTATGTAAATCTTGGGTCGGCCATTTTGGCCCCACCCTAGCCCCGGGGGTCATGATTTGAACAAACTTGAATCTACACTACCTGAGGATGATTCCATTTGAGTTTCATCTTTCCTGGTCCAGTGTTTCTTGAGAAGAAGAATTTTAAAGATTTTTCCTATATCTTCCTATGTAAAACTTGGGTCGGCCATTTTTGCCCCACCCTAGCCCCGGGGGTCATGATTTGAACAAACTGAAATTTACACTACCTGTGGATGATTCCACATGAGTTTCATCTTTCCTGGCCCAGTGGTTCTTGAGGAGAAGATTTTTTAAAAATGCCATTAATTTTTCTCTAATTCATAATCATTTCCCCTTGGAAAAGGGCGTGACCCTTCATTTGAACAAACTTGAATCCCCTTTACCCAAGGATACTTTGTAGCAAGTTTGGTTGAAATTGGCCCAGTGGTTCTTGAGAAGAAGATGAAAGTGTGAAAAGTTTACGACAACGACGACGACAACGACAGACAACGGACAAATTTTGATCAGAAAAGCTCACTTGAGCCTTCGGCTCAGGTGAGCTAAAAACTTAAGTTTCTCAACGGTATTTTATCTCTCTGATTTTTTTTATCGTAGTTATTGAAAAATTGCAATACCGGAAATAACAGTTTAAGTCATGCGTAGGGGTGGTACCAATTTAGACCTCATCTGAACCTCTGACGACAAAATCGGGTTTTCAAAGGTTTATTGTACATCTGTCTGAACATTTGCAAAGGGGGAATGGTTTTCCTGTCAGGTATAGTGTAGGATGATGAACTTTCGATGATGAAATCATATAGATCGCATAAATAACATAAACCTGCAATATCTTATAGCTTGATTACACAGCAAATCTCAACCAAGACTTTGGAATACCAATTTGATTATGGCAGGGACCTAAAATAAAATGGTTCGCGTCTCAAAGAGAGTATGTAATTATTCTTCTCTAAATAAGATGGAATATCAGTGAATTTGTTGAATCTAGAGTACGAAAGAGTCATTCAATAATCACCGAATCTTTAATATATAAAATAAAGCTGTAAATGTGTATCTGTATGCACATATAATTATGGATAATTCCTCTTAATGACTTAATTTTATTTCATTTTTTGAATAGTCAAAGTAAAAGTTTCGTTTATTTCATATCTAACAAATTATTCTAAATTATGCATATGGAAGTTTTAAGACAACCATGAAAAATATCTTTATATAAAACGTTTAACTTTCTTAAAGATAATACAAAGTTTCTTCATTATTTTTTTTTTTTAATTTTCTCTTGACATCTCCCATATGCATTTTTGATTTGTCTTAAAAATTAAATATCAATTCAGATTTAGAAATTACAGGTTCAAGCTATTACAATAAAATATGGAGATAACGAACACTAATCTAAATCAAAAATTCACAGAAACAATGTAAATCAAAATCAGAGCGAAAAAGGACCGATTAAATCAGACGTTGGATCAGGTGGTGCCATAAAGGGAGTAAGCATCTGCATACGGAGTTTATATATCTCAGTTTATTCGATACAGAAGAGCATGTTCTACATATGATATGAACATTTTTTAAACGAGGTAAGTTATTGACAAGTTGATGAAGCAAGAATATCAGCAGTCTCGTTTAAAGTCATCATTTCGTAAGTTTTATGGTCGATACAATTACCTTGTCAACAATTAAAATTTATCATTGAGTCAAAAGCTGATTGTCTTCTTTCATACTGATGGTTAGGCCATTATTTAAACATTTTGTTGTCCTCGGATTTTCCCGTTATTCTCCGATCATGACAAGGATCACATGGCGGATGTACCGGTCGGCAGGGGATGCTCACTCCTCCATGGTACCTGACCAAATCTCTGATGTTTTGGAGGTCCATGTTTGCTCTGCTCCTATTTTGTATAGTTTTAAGGACTTTTGATCTTGAATACTGTTTGTTATCTCCACATATTTCATTCATCACTCAAGCATTTTTCATACATTAACATGCTTCAGTAAAAACAAAATAGCATTTAAAATTCCAAAACAATTCTTGAAAAAAAAACCAAGTATTTATATTTAATATGAAAAGTCTTACTCTATTCTGGTTGACCCCCCTTTTCCTATGTACATCATGTTACAATGTCATTTTGGTGGTGGGGGTGGGGTGGTCAGCTTTTAACATAAAACAAGCGCAGTCGTTGGGCAGGAGAACTGAGGCACATAAAAAATCTAAAAAGATATTCACGTCTGTGTATGCAGTATTTTTGTTACCTTATCTCCCTACAAAACGTTGAACATTTATGATGATTTTTACTTCTGATAAATTTATATGAGATTAGGAATTTGATAATAAATATTGCATTTTCTTAACACAGACATGCTTTTCTTTAAATAATATCACAGAATATATCCAAGAATTGCCTCGCTTGTCATAAGTTCTGCTAAATCAACAAATACCATTCATGATAATACCGCCGTTCGGAAGGCGAGGGGGTATAATGATTTATTTAATAACGCTTCACTGCATGCATGTGGAATAACGGAACCTCTTTCCTTTCGTTTGTTTATTTTCTCATGTTCTGATTTGATATTATACGTTAATTTACTATAAAATGAACAATTTTAGCATTATAGTTACTGGATATTTATTCTTTGAAGTCCATTTCTCCTGAAGTTAAAATAGAAAGCAAGTGTATATTTTTCTAGCAAAGGCTATACATTATATATATGTTTACTTATCCGATAAGATAATGTCATATATGATAATCGGGAAGTCCGTCCGTCTAGCTGTCATTACGTCTTGACGTCTAGCTGTCAGTACGTCCGTCCGTCTGTTACGCTTTGGAGTACTCATCTTTTATCCGCAACTCTTATTTTACCACTGAATGAAATTTAATGAGACGTTCACAGAATCTTGGCTACATATTGCCATTGTGACCTCCTTTTTACTTTTTGAACGGACACATATATTTCGGGTTTCCCAGCTTGAGTAAAACATGGACACGGCTATTCTTTTTATAATATTGAAGGGTACTCATCTCTTATCAGAAACTCCTCCTATTACTGAATGAAATAAATGATACTTTCACAGATTTTGTTATTACATACATGTAATGCCATTGTGCACCTCCTATTTTACTTTTTGATCTGACACTTATTTCTGATTTCCCAGATAAAAAAATTCACTTTGCCATTATAAGCATATGGGAGGCGAGGTATCATTTAGTGTCATTGATCACGGTATCTCTAGTTTGTGTCATACCTTTCATATTATTATACCCCCGCTTGAAAAGTAGGAGAGTATATAGTGATGGGGATGTCCATCCGTTTGCAAGTCCTTCCGTCTGTTACACTTTGGTGTATAATGGCAAAGTCCACGTTTTGCTCTGCAAGACACAAAATAAGTGTCAGATCAAAAATTAAAATGCATGTAGGAGGTGCACAATGGCATTTTGTATTAAAGAATCTTTGAATGCATTAAATTTTATTCAGTGGTATATGTAGGAGGAATTGCGGATAAGAGATTAACATCCTTCATTCTTTTATAAAAAGAATGACAACGTCCAAGTTTTGCAATGGGAAACCCAAAATATGGATCAAAAGGTAAAATAGGAGGTGTACAATGCTACTGTGTAATAAAGATTCTGTTAAAGTCTCATTAAACAATCGGTGGTATCTTTAAGAGAAGTTGCAGATAAAAGCTGAGTACCCTAAAGCGTAAATGACGGACGGACAAACATACCTATTGCTATATATCCTTCCACCTTTCAAGCAGGGGTTACAAAAAAACACTTGTTTTGAGACCACATGCTCGTGATAAAGGTAAAACACAGGAAACTCTATTATTGTACTATTTTTAGCCATTTTAAAAAATGAACACCAGAAGAATTTTTTTAATATAATATTTATGTTTAAAAGTGATCCATATGTTGCATATTGATGATTAAAATTCCATAGGATCAGTATCCCTGATTTGGCTTCAATGTTTATTTCTTCAACAGTGGATGCATAACGTCATCATCCTCACATACGTCATTATCATCACAACTGCTCTCATTTCTCTTCAAACCTTCGCTCAGACGACCACTCATGGACCGGTGTTCTTCGCATTTAGTATTGTCGGAATGCAGCAAAATGTCTGATGTGCACGTACACACAGCAGAAATTTTCAAAGTTTGATCTTTGTACTTACCGCACACTCTACACGTGAGTAAAAAATTAAAGTCACCATTTAGTTCATTTTCGTCTTCAATACTTTGAGATCTTTCCAGTTTACTTTTTACAACTTTGTGAATGCTTGTATCAGAGAAATGTTTTTCATTGTTGTTCTCCTTTTGAGACTGTTTGATTGTCGATATGTCACCATTGCACATCACATTACGATCCTCGCTTTTGGATTTTGATAAAGTAGATTTAGGATTACGTAATGTTGCATATGGCTTGATGTTCAACGTCCTAGGAACGTTTGGAAGTAATCTTTTGTCAAACTTAGGTTCATATCGCCTCGTCTTATTCATTTGCTGGTCTTTCTTAAAATTTATTACAAAGGAACTCTTTTGTGTATTCTGACTCCTACATTTTTCTTTTGAATCATCATTTGTATCACACTCTGAGACAACGTCCCTATCTTTATCAGAAGGAATATTTTGATTTGGTTTGATATTTTCATCTGTTTGATTTGTTTGATTTAGCGGACAGTCATGTGTTACATTGCCTAACACAACATTTTGTTGCTGAGTATTTTCACTTTCTGTTTCAGAGCTTGCAGTGATTGTTTCTGTACTTTTACTTTCAGTTTGCTCTTCAGAGCTATTATAAAAATGCACCTTTTCATTGCTTTCCAGAGTTTCTTCCTTTGATTCATCAGGAATATCATAAATGATTCTTTCCACTGTTGTGCCAGAATCTTCTTCTGGATTAGATTCACAACGGCGCATGCTTAGTCCTTCGCGCCGTCGTTTAGAACTCGTCCTGTGTGATTCCCGGAAGGACTTCTTACTGCTATTTCTCCGGAAGTATGCATTCTCCATTTCATTTGGTTCTGAGCAAGACTTGGTACTCTCCCTTCGATCGCAGTAGGAATGACTGTCAGTGTAACTGACTTCACGTGAGACCTCATTTATAATCTCGCAAGTGGGAGAGCATGACACGTGATGGTCAATATCGTCCATACTGTCGAATTCAAAACTTATCGGTGGAGATGAGTTCTCAGATGGCGTAATGTTGTTCAAGGAGCACTTAGAGTCCTTCTCTACGGTATCCATTGAAGAAAAGGATGCGTTATCCACTGGATCCTGGCGTCTCAAGAATCTTTTGATGGCCTTCAGCCTCCCCTTAATGATTGTGGGCGTTCCTGGATCACTATCGACTGTGCTCTGATGTGACAGAGACCTTGCCTTTTTGTTTTTCTTATGAAGGTCTGAGGTTCCTGCTACTGTCCACACCCTGTCGGTGTACCTCAATGATCTTGTGTCCTCTTTAACTTGGACACCGGTCTTTCCCTCCCATTCCTCTGATTTGCCACGACGTAGTTTTGGAGTGGCCAATAGATTCCAGAAACTGGATCCGTTTGACTTGTGTCCCCCAAGTGCACCAAGGGCAAGACTGGCAAAAGATCCCATAATTCCTTTTCCAGGTTTTACTGGTTGTCGAGCTGAAAATATATGAGATTAAATTTCTGTCAGTTGTTTCAAGATTTCATCTGCATGTACAAATGCAATTCTCATTCAGATTTATTTCATAATTGAAATTCTTTACTAATTAAGATAACTTTACCAATAGTTTGTTGAATTTTCCAGTCATCAATTCCTTCAGCCAAACAAAGCCTACGCATGGAATCTATCTGTTCCTAAAATATAATATAAAACATGAATTAATTTCGTGTATTTGGGATACCATATTTGCACATAGTGGCCATAAGAAATTTACAGTAAATGTAAGGCACCAGGACATTGGACAACCACACTGATTTAATTTTTTCTTTATCTTAAAAAATTCTTACGAATAAATAGGTTAATTCAAAACAAAAAATATAGAAAACTAGTTAACATACAAACTTTTTGACTCAAGATTTATTACAGACTAGAAAGTATTTTTTCCAAATCAAAAAACATTTTATATTTAATGTAGTGCTAAACTGTTTTTCTGTGCAGGATATCGTATTTGAAGACTTTGCGGGAGTCCCTAATCTACAATAATCTGATCAGACGACCGAAGTGAAGATTTCCCGGGCGCCGTGCGAGATGTCGGCTGCTCATCTAAGTGTTCTTTTATGTATCTGTCAAGTTTCATTGTGTGCACTTAATAGATTTAATTACTATATCAGTAAACAATATTCAAAAACAAAGAATCTTGGAGTGATCTGTGGGTGGCCTGAAAATTTTAAGTCAAATCAATTTCCTTAATATCTTAGGTTTATGAACGGTATTGAAAGTGTGCTGTATGTGTTGATAGGGCAACTTAGCGCGTGAAAACTGTCAAATTTCAGGAGATGCGAAATCTGGAAAATGTATGCTGTTTCAAATGTTGACCTTAAACTACATTTTGGTAGACAACATATGTTATGTTTTAGACATTTATAAAGGTCACACAGAACGGGGCCAGAAAGTGCATGTGTCCGACAAATGTACGCGATTTGATATTTTTCCAGTTCTTATATATATATCAAATGATATTGCTATCACAATTAAACTTACATTAATATTTCATTCAGTTTCTTAATTATTTATTAAGATCTTTTAGAAGTATTTTTTGTTATATCACAATCATAAAATTCTTATAAATCTGTGTTAGTATTCCGGATCTCAAAATATTGACTGGACCCTCTGAACCTACATGTAAATGTCCTTAACTTGTGACGTATTCATAATCAGTACTTATAAAAAATATGATTTAGATTTTTTAAATAGATAACGCACTACTGAACTTATATACATGTAAATGCCCTTAGCTTGTGATGTATTCATAATCAGGTGAAGTCCTAATGGAACGATAATGAAGAATAATTGTAAGAATTCTCATTATTATTAAGAGCTCAAAACAAATTAGTTTGCAATCATATATAGAAAGTACCAAGATATAAAATACATTTATGCATAAAAATTAAGTCTTTTCAGTTGGTTGATTTAATCGATATCCAAATTTCTTAATCATCAACAGCTATCCATAATTACTTTCTAATACTGACTTTGCTTCAAAGTATTTGATATTCTTCTGGATTCATGGACTTAGCAAATGAAATAATAAATAGTTGTATATTCACTTTATTTTGGAGAAAAATTCTTATGGATAAAAGCCCCGTTCTCTTGGAGTAACCTTCTTTTTCAGAAACATTAAAAACCTACAATTGTTATTTTAGTATGCAGGATTTTCTTGCTGCTAAAGATTAACAAATCAAAGAATGCATAAACATACAGTGTACTTGTCCTTGTCCTGTCGGAGTTGTTTGTTTTCTTGTTCAACTTTCTTTTTCTGTGTGTAAAGAAGTTTTAATCGGAAGTGTTCGTGATCACGTACTGCAACAACCAAACCTGGAACAAAAATTCATTTTCCTGTATAAATGAAATATAATCGATACAAAAATTAAACACTGATATTGTTTAACAAAATTTTTACCATCATCAAATACAGTATACATTCTAAAATGAAATATAAAGGTGACTAAAAGTGATGACTCTCAATTGTCCACTTAAACAAAGTAATTGGGAGCATAGCCATTAAAGACCTTTGAAAACAGAGGTAGGATCAGGTACCATGGAGGAGTAAGCACCCATGTCACACTCCCTGTGTGCTCCTTATTATGATCAGATAAACGGTAAAAAAAAAAATCCTTAGACAATTCTGTCTGAAAACATCTTGCTTGAAAGACTTCAGTCAACATTTGACGTAACGACAAATTGTATTTGCAAATAAGGTTGTAGAACAAAATTGTGATTTTCAATGAGCTTCTTGATATTCTTTTCCATTCAATTTTTTGTCAACAGCCTAAATGGTTTTAGATTTTTTTCTTAAGTACATCTATAAACCTGTGAGACATAAATTCTATGTGTAAATAATAACGGTACATTGCTACATATGGAAGTTGGAGAAAGAAGAGTTAAAATTATCAGTATACCACATAGTTTAGTTGTCAATCGGCGTTTTCCCTGTTAATATGTACAGGGAATATAATGTGCTAATATGTTTCTCTATGAAACACTTGTGACAGACTCTGTGGTGTATTTTATTTTGAGTTTTTTTTAAGAGTCTGAGACCTCTGCTTCATATTTGGTTGTTTTTGTTTACGATAAAGGCAAACTAACAACTAAATTAAATGACAAACGAGACTTCAGCTTTTTCATCTGCAACTTTCCTAATGAATTGCATGTCCGCTATTACCTTCATAGGGTGTTTAATTACTTCTCCCAATTATTTCAATTGACAAAAGCATTCTCTGAGAACGAATATTTTTGTGAAGCCTTTGTTTTGAAACTCTTTTTGACTACGGAATGCTCTGACTACCTGAACAACGCATACAACTCTCATGGACTCAAGGGATGCTAACTCCTAGGCACTTATTCCACCTCTTGAATTTCAATGTTTTATTCCCTGTTCACGATTTTATAATTTAAAGCCCCAGGGATATGTATGAAATAAAAAAAAGAGAATCTAAGAAATCCACAGTTTTTAAAAAAATGAAATACTAAGTATATCATTGTTGTATTTGATACGTAGTATTATATACATCAATTTATTTTTTGATGTAATTCCTGTGTGAACAGAATTCCTTATCGTTCTGCACACGGCAATGACATAAGATTTGCTGATTAAGATCATGCAGAATCCGCTCTAGACGTTCGATCTGTTCCTTTCCGCCATGTCTGTGATTTCTGACGTGCATGTTGTCATTATCAGATTTCAAAGTTTGATAAAACAGTTGTCGGTCAGTGGAAAGCTGGTCTGTGACGTCAGACATTGTCTTTGATGCGAAAAACCCATATGCTTTTTTGAGATATTTTAATTCCTTGTGTCAATTCAATAGCTTTTAAGCTGCAGAGTCGATTTTTCTGAAATATTTCGTAACATCTGTGGTCGTCTTAATTAAGGAATTTGCTTTTTTATAAGTCAAGGCTAGCTCTTCTACGTATTTTATATACGATACATCTTTCGTGTGACCATCAATAAAATGTCTGCATGCAATGGTATTGTGTTAAATAATATTGAAAGCATGCAGACTGTGTAATTTTGTTTTTTCAACAGACAGAATTCGACGCTTACTGTTGACAACTCGTATCACTCCCCATGGCAACATAAATGCCAGGATGAAAACAAAGTCCTGAATGTCGTCAGCCGCCATTCCATTTACAAATACAAAGTCCACTGTAAACGAGGCTAATACTATACAGGCATCGAATACCTGTAAGAACATAATTATCATGTTTACATTCAATAATACCAGAAATGAAGACATGCTTTACAGTGTGATGAACTTTAAAGATTAATATGAAAAGAAAAAAGTATAAATATTGCACCTGTAGATGACTATAATAAAAAAAAACTTCATTTGAAATCTTTTTGAAATTCGTACGACAGATATAATAAATATAACAGTACAGCTTTGAAAATAGACAATATCCATATACTACTACAGTACCTATTACCTTTAAACAACCTTGTATAACTTTGTTTTATCATATGTCATTTTTTTTAAAATGAATTACATTTTAATGAAATAAAGTTATTTTCATGAAAGTATCTAGTCAAAGATAAAAAAAATATTCTTCTGAACTCATAAACATACAATGTGCGTTTTTCCTATGTACAATGCTTGTCAAAAAGTTGAACCCTATGCACAAGTAACAAAGTTAAAAAATCAAGATCGGGCTACTACTAACTTTTTTAAGCAGCTGGCTAGAACAATGCCTAAAACACATTGATTTACGTTAAGATTTCACTTTCTATTTCTGTCTTAATCTATTGTCAGTGTCAGAAATCAACCTGCTTCTATGAAAAATATGCTGCAGTTGGGAGATAGTAAACGACATTTCGTCCATTCGAGCCCTTCAATAGCCACTTTTTTGTCAGGGGAAGACATCTCCACTATGTTGGATAGAAAGATAAATATGACATGACGTACCTCTAACTTCTGGTTAAAAAAGTGCTTCCCAAAGCAGACAACCTTCAGGGCAGTCTAAAAATACATTGATAAATATGAATAAAATTGATAGATACCATCCAATTCTTGGAAGAAAAGAGATTGAGTGCTATGTAAACAGTGATGCATTATCGACGAGAGGCTCAAATGAATTTTGTTATCAGAATGTGATGAAGTACTGTATTTCTTTCCCAAGATAAAATATATAAGCATACTGCATGCCTTGTAAAAAAGCATACTGATTGAAAATGAATTTAAACTGCTGAAAGAAGTTTATCATTGTTATTTCTGATTCAAATTCTGATGATATTCTCTAACTGTTATTTTTATTTTGTTTTAATGTTTATGTTTTATATCCGTTTCTTATTTAAACATCCTTCAAAACAACCATTTCTTTAAAAGCACTTTTTAAAAAGTGATTTCTGAATTGCATTGATGCTTTTTTCAATAAATGCCAAAGAAAGAAAAACATTGTGTAACAATCTGATCCAGATTTTGTTTTAGATTCCATCTTAGTTCAACAATGTCTTGCGAAGACAAGATACAGCAATCAAATGTGACTTTTAGATGAAAATCATGACAATATCTTTTTAACGCTAGCATGAAGCCAGTTGGTTGAATGTGGACAAATATGAACATTTTCATCTCCATCTCTTCAAAGTATACTTTGATCAAGTAAAGATTACATGTATTTGCCAATGCTCCATTGGTACACCCAAGTGACTAAATACTTTGCTTAATCATGCTACCCTCATCAGTGACCTTTCTATCAACTATCGCCCCTTTTCTACTACACACAAACATGATTTTGGTCGTTTTCTAGAATGTATCTTAACTTTATTTTACCTCAGTTAGAAGCACCACTACAATGAAGAGACTGAGACCGTGGAAAGCACTGGCAAGCTTTTCTTCGATACTACTGGGCTCAAGTTGATTTCCTGTTGTGACGTCATCATTTCCAGCTGACCGCCTGGCTCTCTTCCTTGAAGGATGATCTCCAGGTTCTAATACAAGTCTCATGTCTAAATTACTCTCGGATGTGTTTGGTCTTTGAACAGCCGGCACTATTGGAAAAGAACTGTTCACGGTTTTTGGTCTAAATGCCGTGTTGTTCTGTTTTAAAGGCCATGTTAACTTTGCTTGAAGAACAGTGTTGTAAGCTATTTGTAGGCCCTGCCTCGTATCCTCTACAGAAAACTTGTCTGGATATCTTAGAGATAAATTCTGTTGGAATGTTAGGGACATTGTTTCGGTATCTGTTATGATATCTTGAAAGAAAAAAAAAGACAATCGATTACAAATGACATTTTATAACATCTACCATTTATTTTGAATTGATCTATTGATTTAAACTCAACATACTTTTTACATGATGTAGGTCGAGGACAAGTTCACCAAGAACGAGGGCACAATCCACAATGTTTAACAGCACTATCATCAACAAAACATATTTACTGCGGAGCACCTTGCTGCCTTTGAAGCGCCATCTGTAATAGAAAATTAAAATTTAATAGAACCATCTGTTAAGTCTGCTAACCATCTAACGACTATGAAAATCATGAAAATCAAATGCGTTTAACCTTACACTGATTCCTCTTCATAAGAAGGGCAAATGAACTTCTCAAACTGTATCTTAGTTATAATACCACCTGACAAATGTAAGGTTCTTTGTACCTAATGTTATTTTTTGCACTGCATAAACGTTATACTTTTGGTAATATTTTCCCATTATCCATAGATTTACACATACATTTTTTTTAATTTTTTAAAAATTGTTGTTTTATTGAAATGAAATCTAGAACCGTCAAAGAATGCCAAATAACAGTTTCCTTCTGAAAATTGGTCGTTTTATTGATAAATGTGTCAATGATCAAAAATTGGAAAGGTACACTTACAAAGTGAAAAAAATTAATGCTATTTATAGTTGTATTAATCTTCACTGTTAAAACATGTTAACTTTTTAAAATTATGGGTTGATTAATTTTTGTCCCTCTTTTGTCCAGCAACTCTGTGATGACTGAAATGTGGCGTGAAGATGTGATGTTTGAAATATGGCATAAAAATGTTTCTCCTACACTAGTATTTTCTATTGGTAATAAAATATAAATATGTTAAATGCATATTAAAAGGCATACTCCATTTCCATAGCATGCATATTAATTCAAGTAATTAGAGCCATAAGAATGATCGTCATTTGAATGAATAATCATTCATATGAATGAATAATCATTCATATGAATGAATAATCACTCATATAAATAATCTAATATACCGTAATGTATCAATTTATTCTACAGTAAAGTTCATTAAAAATCTTTGCCTTCTAGAACCTGCAGTGGTGGCATGGCAATTTTTACTATATGTGTATCATAATTTTTTTGTGTATTCTAATTCCAAGATTTTTTTTCAGTTTTAATCAAATTCATGAAAAAATGTTATAAAATGTTCTAAAATTACGTGATTATATTTTATTGAAAATATTCGTAAAGTATTTTCAAAATTTAAATAAAATAATCATTATGGTCACTACGTTAAACTAGCTATAGAAATTAACAATTTATCACTTTGTTGATGGTTAGGACATTCCCAAATAATAAACGTGTGACAGTCTCATAATTCAGATATTAAAGTCCCCTAAACGCCTGTTATAGGACAAAGAGCTCCAAGCGATCGCTTGAAGTCATTTGGCAAATAGAGTCAGTGTGATTCTGCTAATAGACTTTTATTTTGTATTGGGTCGTTTTTTACCAGCTTAACGCCTGATGCCCCGTCATATTCAATAAAATCTCGCATATTCAGAGCACTGAAATTTGGGTCTGTTTCCATGTGACTAAGGACAAAATAATGGAATTGAATGGTATTTATTAGCTTTGTTTGGCCAAAAACCATTAACAGCAAATTTCCATTGACAATACATGATGGTCAGCTGTGTTGAAGTCGGCTAGCAATATGGAATTTTCACAGATCTCTTATTATTTTTGTTTCTCAAAGATTGTAATAAAATCTGAGATATAAAAACATCACTATAAAATATTTTTGAAGTATATATGTATCCATTAGGTCTTACACGTAATTATAAAATTATATGATCTCCAAGGAATATTTCTCTATTGTTGTATATCATGCATGTCACATGTAATAAAAACTATTACACCTAACTGTATATACATTTCGAGATATTTCACCAGAATTCTTAATAAATCATTCAAATATTTATATTAATTGTTAAACATGCTTGTATAAAATTTTACGTCTTTTATGCCTAGAGACTTCTGAGAGATTACCTATGTCTAGCACAGAAATCAGCTTTCATGATTAACTTAAGTTTTTTATGCCTACCTGTAAGATTTAGCATTTTAATGACTTCTTCTTTAAGATTTCAATCAAACTTGTAATTAAGCATCTTTTAGCAAAGGAAATTAAGGATTGTTCAAAGAGAGAGAAGTGACCTTTACAAAATGACCATGATAATGACATTGGAATAATATAATGTAGTGAAATTATTAAAAATGTTCTATACTTGCACCACTGAATCAGATGATGTAAGAAGATCACATGTCTTTGTATTATGAAAATTCATCTTTGATTAAACAGACTATGCCGCTACAGAATGAAGTATAACTTAAATATAAGAATTTGCAGTGTGTAAAGAAAAAAGCATGATGCATAAACAAAATAGACAAAGAACAACAAAGAAGTCACAATTCCTATATGTATCTAGTTTTGACAGTCAAAAAATTTAAAACAGAAGCTAGAGGTAGTATGAGCATTAAGCTCAATAAATGACACCCCTAGCCTCCAATATAATCACAATGGCAAAGTCCGTGTTTTTCTCTGGGCTGGGAGACCCGAAAAAAAGTGTCAGATTAAAAAGTAAAATAAGAAGTCAGAATCTGTGAAAGTTTCATTAAATTTTCAGTGTTATAGGAGGAGTTGCGGATAAGAGATGGTTACCTTTCAATATCATAGAAAGAATGGCAGTGTCCATGTGTTGTTCTGGAAAACCTTCAATATGTGTCGGATCAAAAAGTATTATAGAAGGTGCACAATGGCATGATGCAACAAAAAGTGTCATTAAATTCCATTCAGTGGTATAAGAGGAGTTGCTGATAAAAGATGTCTACCCCAAAGCATAACAGACAAACGGACATCCAGATCACTATATGCCCTCCAACTTTTCAAGCGGGGTATAGTAATACCATATACAGGTTAACTCTAAATTACAACTTTATCCCCATAGTCATTTATTACAAAAAAAATTTCTTTTCATACAGCTCAATTTCAAATCTTTATAGGTAGCATCTAAACTGCATTTCTCATTCTGTCCTCACCTGGTAAATTAAGCTCATTAAACTATCATTTTAGGAGATACTTCTCCAAGTCTAGTCAAATTGTGATTGCCATGGAAGAGCAACAAAGAGGCACGATGTTTCAAAATATTACAGTCAAATGCATATATAAAAATCAGTTTTATAGATTTTTTAGAACAAAATATACTGCAATCTCCTTGGCGCAATGTTAATACTATATGAAAACTAGTCAACAAAAATTGGTTTCATTATTGCTTACCTTTAATGTTTTTTAATTTAATTTATAAAAACTTGATTATTTTCTTCTGATTTTAACTTTGAAATCATTTAGTTTGATGGATTTAAATTTTCAAAACTTCACAAATATCTACAACAAAAGTGTATTATTATCAAACTAAACAAAATTTAATGCACATGCAGTAAATGTAAGGAAGTATGGGCAAAATATTGGAATCCTTCAGAGTTCAATGTTAAGTACACTATTTTCAGTTGTTTACATTGAATGGCTGATCCTGCATATAACCAATTAAGATTTCTCAAATGTTTATACTGCTTGTTTGTAATCAGATAATGACCACATGGCGGGCTTGTGTGTTTATATCTTCACGATGCATTTGATCGAGATAATCAATTGTTTTTAGCATGTTTTGACACATACTGCTTACTAAGTTTGATTTATAATGTGGATCTTTATCTTTATGTACTATCATATTATAAACAAGTAACATGTACATGTAGTAGTAAACAGGAAATGGTGGAATTGACTAATAGATACTTATTTTCCTAGATCAGAATAACAAAGGTCTCTGCATGGTTAAACGATCAAGGAGTCTTGGAAGGAAAAGGGTACATACATGTATTTAGTTATTAGATACTTCTAATTCTCTTACCTATTATCTCACAGAAAAAGGTATATTTAATATAAATTTTGAGGGTAAATGATTAAATATCTTACACACTGCGGAAAACCTGAAAAAACTAGCTGTTAAACTTGTAAGAAAATGACGCCCTTGGTATTGTGGGTCTCATATTTCAATAGACGGTAAGTCAAAAAATTGTCTTATATTTTTTTCTTTTCCTTGGCAGTATACAGAGTATTTCTGACCCTGAATTCTTTAATTTCTAAATATGGTAGACTTAATTCTTATAACAACAACAAGAAAGAAAATTGTTTAAAATTAAACAATAATCTAAGAAAAAACCCAATGAGGCTTATGTTCTTTTTCCAAGAAATAATTCTTTATTTACAATGCCCAAAATCATGATTTTAAACGAGACTGCTTATATTTTTGTCTCATCAACTTGTTTGTCAATGATTAACCTCGTTTGAGAAATTGTTAATACGTAGAGCATGTCCTGCGTATTGAAACAACGTCAGTTTATTTCCTCTCTCTCTTGTGCAGAATTGGAATATGACAGTCATAGAAAATTGTAAGATCTAGTACATTGATTTATTTCTCTACAAAATACTTAAAGATAAAAAGAGAAAGAAACAAAATTAACCTATTTTAATTCTGGATCAGAGAAAAATTAAAACTTGTTTCATCAAATAACAATTCTCAAAATTGATAATGATGCTTCTCTTCAGATCAAGGTTGTCTAATTCCTTTATATGAAGTTCTGTCTGAAGAGGTTCCGATATAAATGACATGGAATTTGCTCAATAACACAGAACCCCTCAGGCTGTTGATCTGGGTAATTACAAGGCCATTGTAAAGTTGGAATTTACGCTGTGGCAGAAGTGCATTCTTGGAGTTTGTTTATTTGATGCCAATTGGCTATCATGTAAACATCAATGAAGACTATAAACAAAGCAGATAGTTGAGATTCACTGCAGGAGAAGGTACACGATGTTAAGAACCAATAAATTAAGTAGAAGGCAATTTTGCTGTGTATTGAATCTACAAACTACATTTATTCGGCATACTTTATCAATGGAGGAAAATAATATAACAAAAAGTCAAAAGTCTGCACTATTTTTCTATCTTCTTTGAGGAAAAAAACTCCTCTAAAGCAGAGTTTATTTGTTAAGATATCGTAACAAATTAATATAACTCTGAAAACAAATATTAAAATGAAGGATCCGAAATTTCTCTCAAGGGTCAAATTGAAATATGGAGATAATGAACACAAATATGGTTTAAAGTAATACTTGAATAATACAGATCGGAAGCAGAACAATCCGTAGACAATTCAGTGTCTAAATAATGGTCAAACAATTAGTATGACAAACCTCAGTCAACTTTCGACTTAATGACAGATAGTATTTGCAAAGAAAGACAAAGTCATTGTATCAACCAAAGAACTTGCG